CATTTAAACCTAATTGAAATTATGGGAAAGGAACTCATCAAAACTGTAAAACCCCTCCGCAGCCAAGAGTCTTTTCACCGTATTTCTAAACACCCTGTAATCTACAATTCGTCGAATCTGGACAGGCAACTTATTGAACAGCCTTTTACTATTATAAAGAATCGAGTTCATGGTTAAAGTTGAAGAGGGAATGGGCAGATCAATAGTAAACGAGCTTCGAGTATTTACAGCGGATACAGAGTGTACCAGATTCAGGTACTTCCTATGCATTAAGCACACAGACTCCAATATGAAAATGCTATAAGCCGTCAGTATTTTTTCAGCTTTAAATGTAGGCTTGCACGAGTCTCGGAGTCGCAAACCGAAAACACATCTAATAGCGCGCTTCTGTAACACAAATACTGACTGGAAGAGGTTATGAGAGCAAGATCCCCAAAAACAAATGCCATATCTTAGATGGGACTCTATAAGAGAAAAATAAACATTCTTTGCGATATCGGTATTTAATTCATTTTTTACAGCCCTGATAGCGAAGCAGCCGGAAGACATTCTAGAGCACAAATTGGAGATATGAGTCCCAAACTTCAGCCTACTGTCAATGTACAAGCCCAAAAATCGGTTTTCGCTCAAGTTGTTGATAGGCTGACCGTCAATTGAAATGGAACTATTGAAATTACCCTTAAAGTGAATTATGTTCGTTTTGGAAACATTAAATGAAAGCAAATTAGCATCACACCATTTTTTGATATTTGATAGGTCAGTGTTCACCATGTCATTGAGCAGAGCAGCACTACCATGATGCCATAGGATAGTAGTGTCGTCTGCAAAGGAAGTACATTGGCCATTAACAATCACAGAAGAGAGGTCGTTGACATAAAGAAGAAACAGAAGGGGTCCCAGAACAGACCCCTGAGGAACCCCTGCTTCGACCCGGAGCTCAGTGGAAGTGTAGTTGTTGAAAGATACGCTCTGGACGCGATCAGATAGGTATGACTTGAACCAGTTCAAAATTGACCCTCTGAAACCATAAATCTCAAGCTTGCCCAGCAGAATCCCATGATTGACACAGTCAAAGGCCTTTGCCAGGTCACAGAACACTGCCGACGCGAACTCTCGATCATTGAGGCCAAGATAAAGTTGATCCAGAAGGTGGAACATGGCATCATCTGTATTTTTTGTGCACTGAAATCCGAATTGTGAGGCTGAAATAACATTATGCCTCTCCAAAAATGAAGTCATACGACCCTTAACAATCCTTTCCACAACCTTTGCCAATGTGGGCAACAAAGAAATGGGCCTGTAGCTAGAGGGTGAGCCAGTATCACCTCCTTTAAACAGAGGGATGACTATGGCCTTTTTTAGAAGAGGGGGAAAGTTTCCCAATTCAATGGAGTTATGTATGGCGTCAGCAAGGGCACCAATGGCAGCATGAGGAAGATTATTGAATATTTTTATCGATATGTCATCCCAACCCCTTGATTTCCTTCCTCCAATCTCTCCAAAAGTATGTTTCAGTTCGTCGACCGAGACTGGGCTAAAGAAGAAAGATTCCGGGACTGAAACGGATCCAAGGGCTGACAAGAGGTCTGCTCTCTGATTGACCTTATTTGCAGAAAGCTTAGCAGCAATAGAGCAATAATAAATGTTCAATTCTTCAGCTGTTAGGTTTTTACTGACAGAGTGAGAGCCGACACGTTTTTTCCCTCGCAGGTCATTCACAATAGTCCAGATCTCTTTCTGTTTGTTGCCAGCCGTTACAATGCGAGAATAGTAATAAGACCGCTTAGCCTCCCTAATCACCCTACGATACACGCTCCTGTAGTTTTTGAAATAGCTCATGAAAAAAGGGTTGCCCATAAAGAATTTCCTCAATGTATGTAAGCATCTCATATTCTTTGAAGCAATCTTCAAACCTTTTGTAACCCAGGGTTTACTGTTTTTTGATCTGAGATTTATGATCGGAAACGCAGAGTTGAAAATATTTAGGAGGTTTCCATATAGAATGTCTCCAAATCTATGCCAGCACCCCCAGAGCCTTCCCATGCAAAATCAGAGCATAATTGTCCAAACACATTGAAATTTTGTCCAGAAAACAAACGGCCACGCTTAAAACATTTTTTCTTCTTAACTGTGCAAGATTCAAATTTATACTTGCCAATCACTGCCTCATGGTCTGACAAACCAGAAGGAATCACAGAACATTCAACCTTAGTTAGATCTATATTAGAACACAAGTAGTCAATAGTTGAAGCAGTTCGCCCTGTTATTCTAGTGTGAGATTGAACATGCATAACCAAATTGAAAGAAATAAGTTTCTAAGTTTACGAGCAGAATGCAAATTTGATTGTTCATAATCTATGTTGAAGTCGCCGGCCAATATAATAGAGGCTGTAGGCGGAATTTCGTTTAGAATCACCTCGAGTTTGTTGAGGAACATCTCACAGTCAGAACCAGGTGAACGATACAAACAGACAATAAACAGATTCAAAATATTACAATACACAATAGACAGCTCAAAAACCTTATCACTACATAAAAAATTAAATTTTTCAATGTCAACCAAGCCAGAAGCTTCAAGAAAATCGTTCCGACAGAGAACCAAAGTACCACCATTATTGAAGACTCTTCTACAATATTTCGAAACAATAGAGTATTTTGAGAAAAAAATTGGTTCCTGTTCTTTGAGCCAGTGCTCAGTCAAAAGAATTATTTGTGGATAACTGACGCTTTCAACAAGAAGCTCAAATTCATTGATTTTAGGTCTAAGTGACTGAACATTCAATAGAAGAATACCTAGTGACAGGTTGTCAACTGACCTAAAAAAGTATGTGACAAGTAGGTGCGAGTCCGGGACTCATGGAGCGCAGGACTTTGGAAGCTTACATTCGAGTATGTAGATATAGGTATTGCTCTTAAGACTATCTTACTTTGAACGAAGGGAGTGATTATGTAATGATAGAGTAACTCACACATAGAGCCAATAGAATGCCGGAAATCGAAAACATCGCAAACATCACTTATCAATCTAATTGATGTACTATTCTTACGGACAAAATCTTCAACAAAGTATACAATATTAAAAAACTTATTCCTAGGAAAATAATTAAAATTACATTTAAAACATACAACCAGGTTAGTAAACCTACCAATTGCCAGAAGTTTTTTCAAACTAGAGTACCCGATAAAAGTTTTATTTAAATCCAAGCACAAAGCAACAGTATCATTCACAGAGTGTCCACTAGACAAGGAAAAGAGTGCCCTGATCAAACCAGCAACATTAGATTGACTACCCACATATCCAAATGTGTCATACAGGGAGCCATGAAAAAGCTCAGCAAGTGTAGAGGAATAATTCCTGGCACTTGCGTCACCACATATGAGTATTTTCTTCTTGATTTGCGTTTTAGGACAAATATCTTGTCGAGTTGCAGCGCAGGTAGCAAAGGCTGGAACAAGTGCAGGGGAACTGTTTGGTGTTGAAGAATGCTGCGGCCCATAAGAAGTAACGTCAGGTTCTTCCACCGCCAAGGCAAGATCCGCCCTGTCAGTCTGAGTTGATTTAGGAACTTGAATTCTTAGCAAGCTGTGGAGGAGTAGAGCCTCGTTCAATGTATCGTCATTCACATACGTAACAGTAGCAGCGTCTTTAAAGCAAGTCGATGTTTGGGTAGCAATCGTAGCCCTTTCTCCGATATCAGATTCCGATGCAAAATAGTCTCCAACGACATCATTAGTATTTGTATCACTGATAACAGTCTGAGACTCAATACTTTTGAGAAAATGTATTGTCTGAGTACTAACATCACATTTAGTACTAGAAGATTTGGAGCATACTGGAGAATCACAATAACCACGAAGCTTTTGCTGGAGCTCAATAGTCAAAGCTTTATATTTTTGAAGTTCTGCTTTATAGTATGCTTCCATGTCAAACACCTCATCTTCGAAGGCAACTGAGCGCCTTTTAGTCTTCTCGATCTGTCTTTTCAGAAGCTCCAGATTACACTTCAGGTCGACGTTTTCCGTTTCAAGCTTCTGCAAAGTTTGACTGTCCCTATCATTGGTCCCTAGTTGGAAGCAGGTGTTTGAACAATAGATTTTTTGCTGCTCAATATGAATCATTTGCTTTTTCCTAGACCAACAAGATTTGTGTACAATTATGTGGCACACAACACAACAAAAGAGTCTCAATCTTTGCTCCTTATTAGGGCAGCATGGAAAGGTCACAATTTCATCCTCAGAGCCCGAGAGGTGATTCATGATAAATTGTCAGAATGCACCCTGTATAAAAGAATAATTCTCTCTGTTATAATTTACACACAATAAAGAATAAAAACGGTCCCCTAGGTAGGTTTGTTTATGTTATATTGATAAGCACCAACCTATTGATAGTAGAATTTATTGTTACCCATAAAAACAAACGCAAAAAATAAAATTATTAACTTTATAGTTACCAAGATAAACTATAAAACGCATTTTCCACCACCAATAATAATCCCTCAGACTTGATTTCACGAGGGTATAACACAGACAAATTTTCTCTTCATTTTGACACTAATTTCAATATTTATTTCGAACTACAACTGTATTTAAACTTTATTTTATTGGGAACAAAAACACTCGTCACACCAGCTATCAAGTCAGCTGTTGATTATATATTATTTTTAGTTTTAGAGGCTGTCACCCGTGGTGGCGTTATGAACAATGGTAATTAATTGAAAAGAATAACTCGCTGACAAAATCTGTTGTGTGCTCTACATCCAAATATTTGGTAATTGAACTTTTGATAATGCTGCGTCTGGTATAGATCATAGAATTGCCTATGTTTTCTTGTGACCTACAGGCAGTGCATTGGTGTCGATTATCTAGGAGTACCTGAACGCTAATAATTAATTTTTTTAATGATTTTATAATTTAGGGCTTTTTTATATGACTAAATTTTGAATTTAGACAATATGCAACTTTCAAAGAATACTAATGAATTCGTTATTGAATTCGCACAAAAAAAAAATAAAACAATTCAACAATTAAATCAGAAATGTTTATTATTAATTAATAATAATGTATCGTACAATTGGACAGTGATTACACAATATGTGTAAAGACCGGTCGCGTGACGTCAAATTGCAAAATTCCAACACTAATATACAAATACATAGTTACAATAGAAAAATGGGAAAGGAATTTTACAACGACGCCATGTTTTTTTTTTTTTTTTTTTTTTTTTTTTCCGTCATATTTTTGAAATTCTAGACCTTAGTAGTCGCAAGACTTCCTGGGAGCCACCAAAGGAAGACTTGTATATTTTTGAATGTATATTTTGAAATAAAAAAAGATTAAAATGCAGAAGCAACTACAACACATCTTTCCTCGTTTTAAGTTTTATAACTAACAACAAATATTAACCGTTATTGCAAATTACATTAAGTTGGGAAAAAAATATACACACATTTTGTTCCAAATGTTGCTTTTTGAAGCGAACAAACCTACATTAAAATTTTAAGTAAAATCAAAAACAGAAATATACAAAAAAATAATTTAATAGTAAAATGCAATATAATTTTGTTTCTAAAAGGAAACTTTCTTGAGTAACTTAAAATTTCTTATGAAAGTTTCCTAAAATAAGATTACTACAAAAAATAATTTAAAATAAATGTATGTCAAAGCTTTTGATACACTTGCATTACTTTTTTTTTTGGTATTTTGATAAGTATTTTACTATTTTTTAGTTTCATTTGTTTCAATAAAAACTTGTATAAAAAGAGAACCCACATCATGATTGTGCGCCTTATTTCTAAACCTAATAGAAATACTTTTCAAGTCTACTAAATTTAGAAATTACCATCCTAAACTATGCAAGAATAATGACAATAAAACAAAATATTTTTCTTTCAACTTACAAAGTTTCAGGCTGGCTTAAAAATGTTTATGAATATAAAGACAATTGTATCAAAGTTCTTGGAACAAAAAAACAAAAAAAAAAAATACGTCTTTCAACCTTGGAGCTCCAAAAAAAATAAATTAACCTAATAAAAATGATCAAACCCAACTTGTACAGCAGAGCACTAGCAATTAGAATCTTTAGTATTCTCCATAATATTAATAATTTACAAAAAAATATAAAGAGAATTAAAAAAAAAAACGAAAACGATTATATCATATGTAGGCGGTATGTGCGATACAACAATGCAATGTTTAATAATATAGTCCATAAAATTTAATTTACTGTATATTTTGTCGGCTGGTGTATATAACTTGTAGAAAGTCGTCGTAATCGCACAACCGGGTGTGATTTTTACTTTTTTTTTTTAAAATTTTACGAGGGAGTGGGAATTGAAAATGGAATCGTGAGAAAAAGTAGCAAATCTTATAAACCAAATAATTGATTTTTCTCCACTTCCCTTTTTCAGTTCCCACTCCCTCTGCCTGTTCGCACTGTCGCCACTATACACGTTTGCGCACACTCGTCTCATTACTTGTTCCTAGTCAAGGCCAGAGACTGCGCAAGTTTCAGTCTGTCTCATTCGCGCGTTTCCGCGAGATTTTCCTCGCGAGGCTTTGCGCCGCCGAAAATGGTCGCGTTCCTCGACGTTTCGGCGATGCTGTTCACTGGGTCCTTAACCGTACGAGGTAGAAGCTTTAGTCGCGGCCTGCCGCTTGTATCTGGAAATGGAGAAATTGGCGATGAATGTAAATTAATCCTGGAAAATGGTCAAGAAAATTTAAACAACAAGAAACATTGTGTCTTCAATAATAAAGCATATTTTGACTTTGACTGTTTGCTGCCCCTGCCTGTATCCCATAACTGGGGTGGAAGCTGGTACCACTAATCTCATAGTCAAGAGAAATAACAAATTTTTTTGATTCTGAAGATTCTGATATTTCTTTGGAAATTCTAATTTTTGCTTGTTGATAAAGTTCAAGTGAAAGACATTTGTAGAGTCACACATTTCAATAATAATTTTTGATGATCAAAACTAGATTGTTAAAATTTCCATCCATATTTACTTCAAAATCAATAAAATTAATTTTCAAATATGTAGTTACTTTAACCAACCTGGTGCTGCAGTAGGTAACTCCTCAGTGAATTTCCTATCCTGACCGCCTCCGCCGCCACCAGCAGGGGGTCCGCCAGACCCTCGTCGTCCACCTCCCGGAGGTCCACCATAACCTCCTCTGGAACCTCCTTTCTGACCACCCCAACCGGCCTCTTCTCCTGTGAAATTACCGTAGTTTCCCCGGTTACCACCACGTCCGTCCTACAAAATTGAATTACATTAGAATATTGGAGATCAACAAATTGTTTGGTGTATAAATTACATAAGTACAAAATAGAAATATCCACAGCACATCCAAAAGGCAACAAGAAGTTGAGCTTATATCATATATTACACAGAGCTAGCAATTTTGCAAAACCTTGCCAGGATAAAAAAAAAAAAAAGAGAACTATTGTATTGACAATCTTTTAGATTAAATATTTTTTGTGTGTATTTTTGGAATTAATCAAAAAAGTTTTTAATTTTCCACACTAAGAAAAAGGAATGTGAATTAATACATACTAAGTAAAATCTATAATTCAATAAACAGTTATAAATAGTAACTAACAAGCCAGGTTATACATTGCAATAATATGGATCACTATGGGTAGAAAGACAATGTCCTCACCTGGAAGCCACCTCGCGGCGGTCCACCTCCACGTCTGTCAAAATCTCCATCATTAAAGCCACCATGTTGCTGTCGATCGCCGCCCCTAAAACTGCCCCTACCCCGGTTCCCACCCCCTCGACCGCCTCTATCGAAACCTCCACCTCTGTCGTTTCGTTTTCCTTCCGCGACATCGATTTTTAAAAGGTTTCCATCCACATCGACTTCTCCGTTCATATTGATGGCCGCTTCCAGGTCCTGAAGCGAGTCGAATTCTACATAACAAAATCCCTTGAATCGGTCAGTTTCCTTGTCCATGACTAAACGGATATTTTTGACGTGCAAGTCTACGAAGATGCGATTCACATCGCCCTGGACGACGCCCGAGGGTAGGTTGCCAACGTAAGCGGTGTATGGAGGCTCGGTGGGAAGGGGTCTTCCGCTGCCTTGACGGCGACCACCGCCTCTGAAATCTCTGTAAATTAAGGAAAATTTTCAATAAATCTTGAATTTGAATTTACCAACTAAAGCTTTATTTGATTCGCAGTCAAGGTTTTAAAGTTCCAACTTAAATAAGTTGGTTTAAAAGCCAAATTTTGAATATAAATGTTTTAGCAGGTACTTTTACAAGACATATTGTAGATGCGCTGAACGCTCACACGCCATTTAGAGAAATTAATAATTTTTAGCTAAGAATTTGGTTCAGCTGCTATGATCTTATGATAAGTTTACAATATATAGATCAGCTATTCAGATTAGCAAAAGAATTGGGAACTGAGGAACATTGGAACAACTGCAAGATTGTGAGAAATGAAGTAATAACTAAATTGAGACATGAAACAAAAGTACTATTGTTGACAATAAATATGACAGTGAAAATATGTGGAAAGCAATGTTATCCTCAAAAATTTCAGGTATGGGAAGGAGTTCCAGTGATCAAGACGGAATTGACTTGAACACACTCAAATTATCACTCAATATTGCAGAAGAATTATTTCTTGATTTCATCAACATATCTTTATCACAGGGAATTTTTCCTGATCCCTGGAAATGTTCCAATAGTCCCAAAATCAATACTTTGTTCAGAACATAGGCTCATAAACACATTACCAGTTTTGGAATTGCTGGTTGAGGATCAGCTGCTTCATTATTTGGATACAGGTAATATTTGGGTAAAGCAAAAATTAGGATACAGACAAAAACTTCCATGCGAAACGGTGTTGCAGTTTTTGATATCAGGTTGAAAATCTCAAATACAGAAGAAAAAAGTCATTGGTGTAGTAAAACTGGAAAAGTTGGTATTCGAGGCAAAGTACTAAAATGGTTCAAGGGATACTTGAAGAGATTTAATTTAAAAATGCCAATTCTAATAACATGGGAATATATCAAGGGGTTCCTCAGGGTTCAGTGTTGGACCTATTTTTTCCTGTTGTTCATTAATGATATAGTTCTTCATGTCAAACAAATTATTCGCAGATGACACTTTGCTTTATTTTGGCTGTGGTCCGAATATAACCAGGGTTGTGGTTTCGCGGTCCGAAAGTAATCAAATTTCTCTGGTTCCTGGAAAAGTGGTTACTTTTGGACTTCGGTTTTCTGAAATCTGGTTAACCAAATGTCAAAATAGTTACCGGCCATCGGATGTCGGTTCTGTTGGTTTTATCTATAATTTCTGTCAACTATTTTCTATTTCATATTCGCATTCTGCAAGCAACCGAAATTTTCAGCAACCATCTGTCAACCGATTCAGTTACTTTAGTTAATGTTTGGTTATATTCGGACAGTAATAGACCGTCAGCTAATGACAGATTTTGTTGACCGATTTTCTCTCTTCGGGGATTTCAATCAATGAAAATTATGTCAGTGCTGAGCTCAAAAAAGGAAAATTCAGCGACCAGACGTCTGCTAGGCATATTGGAAATTTATTTTCCCTTTGCAGAAAAAAATAGGTTATTTTTTTCAATTTCTCTTTCATGACATTTCAACACATTAACATTATAGAACAATCTAATTATGGAAAACCAAAGCCATAAGCTTTGCACATAGTGATGTGAGTTGAGAATATTCGCAAACATTGGGAAATTTCCGAGAATATTCGCTGATAAAAAATGGAAACGTTCTCCTGCCTGAATCAGAATATTCCTGGAAACTTTCAATCAAAAACTCTCAAAAAAATATTTCCGAGAACTTCCGAGAATATTTCCAAGAAGTTTTCAGATGAATTTCATAAAAATGCGAGATTATTAAAAATTCAAGGTCTCCGTGACGTCATTTCAATTTATTCTGATGTAGCCCTGTCCAACTGTCTTTACGGAAATGTAGATACAATTTACCCAAACACCAGCTGAGCTGATGTACCTACAGTTTGTCTTTTTTTAATCGTCTTCATTGAAGAAAGATAAAAATAAAGAGCTGGGAGATCGGGTAAATCGGATCAGCGTTAATGTAAAAGCCTTATTCACCCGTCGCAAAAACCAAGATTAAATAAGGAAGCATAATCAGCAAAGGCTTTACAGGACTTAAACAGGGTTGCTGTCTATCAGCAACACTTTTTGAAATATACAGAAAAAGCGCTTATTAAGGGGTGGAAAAGCAAATGCAGATACATGACTACTGCTGAGTTTCTTGGTGCATTTTTTGATCCTATGTTATAGTTATGGAAGTCTTTACTTTTTTTAAATATTTGGTTTACTTTATAGCTGTATTATTAGCTGATCTTACAGAAAAAAATAAGTGTTTTTTTTTTGTTTTATAGTCTATAGTCAGAACACTTCAATAATAAATAAGGCTTACTACTGATTTGTCTGGTTTTGCTATAAATTTAAAAAGAAAAAACAATATTTCCATGTGTTCCCAAAAGTTTCCAATATTCCCGGTAAGTTTCCGAGAATCTTCGCGGCCGTGAAGTAAAAGCGGCCGTAAAGTAATAAAGCAAATGCGGCCGTGAAGTAAATGCGGCCCTAAAGTAAATGCGTCCAAAAAAGATATACTTTAGGGATGATATTGAATCCGTAAAACTAATCTTTTTGTGACAGTGGCCTAAAAATAACTATTTTGATATAAGCTCCCAAAAACAGCTATTTTACAGACTCATTCAAGTCTGTAAAATGCTTCTTTTCAGGATTTTTTTTTCTTTCTGGATGCACCTTTATGATTTCAAAAATTAGGGAAATTTTGCAAATTTTAGGGTTCTGAAGAATTCTAAAAAGCGTATGACAAAAAATAGTGTTTGTCACATGCACCTAACGAAGTTTTTCAGGACTCATCTGCTATTCCGGAAGAACAATGATTCGTCCTGAAAAACTCCATTTTAGATACTTGTGACAAAAATAACTATTGTAAGAGCTTTTATAGCTAATAAAGTGTTTGATAAAACTCTCTTGGGTGAACAGACCTTAGGTAATGGAGCTCTGCTAAGAGCATCGGATTCAATAATTTCTTTTCCAGTATGTAACCAAATACATATTCACTCGCATATTCATAAATTAATAGTTTCATCTTAAAATTTTATAATCTTACAGTTAATTCGTTAATAGGTTTTTCTGTTAAAATTTCCACCAGAGGTTAATGTTATGAACAGTTCTAATTTTAAATTGCTTTCTTCATAAAAATTGCCTTCAATGATTTACAGTAGACAGTATTCCTAAAGTTTCTTTTTCATCTCATTCTGCACTTTTTTTGGTTGTTTTTGCTCAACTATTCCTCCTAACCTCAGCATAGAAGTACATAAGTACATATCTGCAAATACTCTGATGTCATATTTAAAATTATGCTGCAAGTACTAGTGCTTTTATTAAAATTTTTCTTGATCTAGACCCCATACAAAATACCTCATCATTTTACAACAATTGTCTTAAATAACTTTATTTTATAATATCTACCTACTAGTCAAAATCAAACATTCTAATATTAATATGTATCTTAAAATAGTGAGGAAAAATCCACATTGCAGATAAACAACTTAACTGCCTTGAATTCGACTCCAAGCAACAATTGGGTGATTCACACTTTTTATGGCATAACAAAAATATTGGCACATATCCAATACTTTTATTGCCTAGTCTTGATAAAACTGGAAAAATTAGCAGCATCTCTTAGAAAAATGGGAGATTTTGTATGCCAATAAGTAAAGTCACAATTTATCGGAGAGAAAGGGAATTTGTAGCTACATATTTACCTAATCATGGAAATTGGAAATAATAGGTATACTTGAGAGAAAACAATATTCTATTTCGGCTCGATGTCATATCTACAAAAATATTGCAGGCAGTAACCATGTCTAGAATGTAGAAATTCATTTCATTTCCAGGAAATATGATAATGTATTTACTTAGATAAATAAATGGCTCATAGTATACCTAATACTGATAAGCTACTGCTATTTTAAAAACTTATAGGTAGTTTGAGCAAAAAACCTTACAATGCTACGTTGAAATATCAATGGGTAGTAAGTAAGATTCAAAAATTGGACCTTCTGATATTAATCTTCAATACAGCAACCTTATATAGATGTTTTGGGGTGGGTACTGTGGGTACATTTTATAGTTTTAATTCCAAGCCTTGAATGATGTAGTTTCTGTACAAATGCAAGGTCTATTTTGTACTAACACGCATAAAATATTCCCTAATGGCTTGTTTCAATAAAGTATGAGCCCTTGTATTTTTTACATTTCTAATACGCCCACCAAGCCAGGGCCAATGCTACGTGCAATACTTTAACTTAATACTATGCTTACGATTTTATGATTCTGGCATCCCTGTGCCTGGATAGCCTACATTTAAAGAGGCATCACAGAATGAAATAGGTTGGATTTCCTAACCAAGGGCTTGGAGGCTTTAGCTAGCTTCTGACAGTGAAAATAGTAAGTCAAATACCTTTGAGGGTGCATATTTTCGTTGAGAATATTTAAATAGGATGCGGGAAACCCTTTTTAATCCAGGAAGCATGTGCCCTTTGGAACTTTGACACCAGCATTTTCCAGGCAAAAAAACAACTTGGAGCCCCGATTTTGGGTTCGTTAGGAGGTACAATCCTCGAAGAATTATTCCAGAGGTTTTTTAGCTGTTATCGTCACTAATTTTGCGTAGAAAAATCAAAATTTACCTGTTATCCCGGTCATCGTATGTACTTCTACCGGCCATGTTTTAGACTGATGCTGAGCGTGCGCAAACGGATAACGGATGACAAGCGGCGCAGAAAAAATGGTCAAAACGAGTCATTTCATTTTTTAGTTTACTGCGGCTTTGCAGCCTTCCACTGCAAATTTTTCGTTTTTTTTCGATTCCCCTTCAACTAATAAATTAAATTCAGTTTTTTCGGTTGCGTACAAGAAAAGTTTCCCGGTAAATTTTTTTAGTTTAGAAGTGTGACTGTCAAATAATTTTGGCACTATTTTTTTAAAAATTTGTCACACGCAAACGTCAAAATTTGTCAAATAGCCAATTGCCGATAATGTAGGTTTCTACTAGTTTTATTCAAATTGACAAGGCTTGTTCAAGCAATCGCGAAAAACATTTGTAGTTTCGGTGTTGCACCTTTTGCGACGTCATCAAAGGTGTCGTTAGCTGTTTGCGGCAGCGATCGTAGTAAACAAAAATTTATGATGAAAACTATTAATTAATTTTAGGTGCAAATACCATTCAAGGCGAAACATCACACGCTGCTACGCAGTGATGTGCCTGTAAACAATGTCAACGTAAACAATTGATTGTCTACGTGTAGACAATTCGAATTGTTTACGTGGGCATTTGTCTACACATTAGTTCTTTTCACGTGGCTCCGGTTTAACCAACCGGGATACAAAACGGTTAGAGAAATGACATAAAGTCTGTTTTTTTTTTAAAGATAATTCCCCAAGTCAAAAATTTAGTAACTATGTTGGCAACACAAGCCTTTTTTGCATAAAAATTTGAAAGCATTGACAATTTTACATTGTATTGCCAACATAATGTCACTTTGACTTTTATCTTTAAAAAAAACACACATTTTACCGTTTTCTAACCCGGTTACAAAGTGTCGTAATGGATACCTACCACTCGAATTTGAGCGGTATGTTGCGGTTTGTTAAACCGGAGCCACGTGAAAAGGGTTATTGTCTACATGTGACGTAAACAATAAACTTATTTTAGAAAATTTTAAAAAAAGTTCCAAAATTACTACTACCTAAGTAGCTTAAACCTATCACTTTGATATTAGCATTCACTGATTATAAATATGAGAAAAACCGATAATAAAATAAAAATAATTTTCGAAAAGGAAAGTGTGAGGTTAGAATTAAACGTCATTTATATTATTTTACATTGTTGACGCGTTGTCTACATTGTCTACACGTAAAGTAGACAAGAAAGTCTACGTGTAGACGCACATCCCTGCTGCTACGTGATCACTGGTACTTTGGCGTGTTGGGGGAGCTTGAGATTTTGATTTTGATCTACCCTGCGGGCCGATCCTCGAGCTAGGGAGTAGAGCTCCTCGAGAGAACAAATTTTTCATCTTTATCATTCTCAGTTACTTTTCGATTACGTTGACAAAGACAAAACATTCGTTCTATCGGGGAGATCTTCTCCCTGGCCCGAGGATCGGGCTTCTGGCCTCAAGAATCCCTGGCCTCACGAGAAGATAGGCCAGATTGACAGGTTATCCTCTGTATGGTGTGTAGTGTCATTGTAGTGTGCATTGAGGGTAGTGTGTGATATCCTTGACAAGACAGGACAGGACCTGACTAATGATTGGTTAAAATTTTGGTTGATGCGCCACATTTAAAATTTTGTCGCCTATATTTATTACAGATAAAAGAATCAAATGGGAAACTAGGGATTTAGGGATGTTCAACCTAGCAAAAAATATCCCTTTTCCAGTTAACCGAATAACCCTTTTCACGTGGCTCCGGTTTAACCAACCGCAACCAATGAACTATAAACTACACGTATCTGGAATGGCACCGACCGTTGTCGGATATGGCATTTGTATGGCATTTGTCATCTCGCTTAGTGCGTCCAAAAAAGCTACATAGGTAGTGGGGGATTCCTTTCTCTCTCCAGTTCATTGCTATTAGGTTTGGTATATTCCTAACCTCGAATATAATATTTTTTAGACAAGGAAAGATTTCCATAATTCGCCAATAAGATAAATAGAGATGGGTATCCCCCAAGAATCGTAAACTCTACAGGATTGCTCAATCGGCTAAATTTGTTCACAATTGCTGTGACGTCACGCGCATGCCTGATTTTCAAGATGGCCGCTGATACGAATGATGTTTAGTTTGTGCTGACAACTATTTTATCGTAAATTCGGATTTATCTAGTGTTATAAGTGTAAATTTAAAGTTTCATTTAATGTGTGTAAGCATAAAAGACTCGTGGCTGAAAATACTCGCGAAAACCCCAAGCATTTTCTGGTTTTATATTACTGGATTTGTTGTATCAGGACATCGCTCTTTTATTTGTGTGTATTGCTAGTTAGTATTTCCTAGTCAAGCATTTGTTTTGCTTTTTTTTTATAAATCAAATATCTACTTAGTGTAAGTAAAAATTAGGGTTTGTGAAGAGTGAATAAATAAATATGTAAATAAATTCCTTTACTGGCGCGTTTACTATGAAAACGCATGGAAAATATGGGAAACTTGCAATGTTTTTCTGGAATATGATTATGAGAATCTAAATTAGGTATCACTATTTGGCTTTGTGAAATAAGCTCACTTTGAATGTCCATATTAAATCGTTCTAGTACCTATTAAATTAATGAATAATAATTGAGAAGTACCTAGGTATAGGGTCAGTAAAAAATAAAGCACACTATTGCAACCCCGTTTCGCTTATATTTTGATATTGAAATGCAAAAATTAAACCGGCTCGGCACCCCACATTTGGTTTTCTACTGTTTCTCAACTGTAGTCAATTGTGCCCGTTTTGTGCTCAATTGTGCCAGTATTTATGCGAATTGTGCTCATTTTCATACACAAAAAAAACATTGAAACGAATCCGGGGGCCAGCTTGACTCCAGCCCTTCGTTTTTTTGACTTTTTGGCAATATGTTTGGCTAATTGATAAACAAAAGCAAACAAACTCGTCTTTCTAATTAGCAATTAGCCAACCACTCAAGCCTCAAGGACACAAGCTTTTGAAGTCTGCTAATTTTAAAATCAATAAATTAATTACAAAATACAGTTTTCAAAGGAAATAACTTCAAAATAACAATTTTTCACGTTTGAAAATGCAAGGATAGTGCACTGTCATAAAAAACACAAACCGATCAAGGACTACGTGACGTCATTCGCATACCGCCATCTTCGATGTTTTTATGAACGTTTGTCTTATGGGATTGAGCAATCCTGTAGAGTTTACGATTCTTGGGTATCCCCTACATTCTCCATCTCAATCTGCCGCAAATTTATAGATCGGCGGGCCATTCCAGGGAAGGATGATGCACACTACTACTACAGCCCCCCGATTCTCAACCTCGTGTCGCAACCTATCGACCCCGACTTCCCATTGCCTTTATACAGGGAGTCGGGACGTCACGTATCGACTTAACGGTTGAGAATCCGTACCCAGGATGGCCTCTATCCTCATAAGGCCAGTGTGTAACAAATCCCTCCTACCCCGCCTAGCCAAACAACCAGTTGTGACGTAAGCAGCATGGCGTTTCTCGCCTTGACATAGGCTGTTGAAACAGCTGACAACTTGGTAATGACGTCGGCAATGGTTGAAAACAGATGAAAACTAATATGGCGGCGATTCCCAAAATCGAGGCCGATAAGCACTCCTCAAGCCAGGGACACATCTATCATGCATACTTCCGATCCGACTCCGATCATACAATCAAGGTCCTTATTCTTGGAACAGGGGAGCAGCGGAACACTCGTTCTCCTTGGGAACGCTGTTCCCTGTTCCAAGAATAAGGATCCTGATTGTATGATCAGAGTCGGATCGGAAGAATGCATGATAGATGTGTCCCGGGCTTTTAGAGTGTGCATTCCAGGTACGTGTAGTTTATAGTTCATTGACCGCAACATACCGCTCAAATTCGAGTGGTAGGTATCCATCACGTCACTTTATAACCGGGTTAGAAAACAGTCATTTCTCTAACCGTTTTGTAACCCGGTTAGTTAAACCGGAGCCACTTGAAAAGAACTAATGAATTTTACTTAAAAATAGGTAACCGAAGTAAAATAGGCCACCAACACAAATACATAAATGCAACCGAGAATGAACAATGTTTTGCAATATTTTGATCAGATTTATAAATAAAAATAGCAAATTTGATCAAAAAAAGAACATGTCTGCACCACTACTCTACACTATGTGCTCTAGTGCAGTTCGAACCAAAACTCTGGAACGAGTATATAAAGTCCAAATTATAGACCGCTTGATACACTTAGCAAAGACCTAACTACTTTGAATACACTGCAGTTAATTTATGAAAAAGTAGGAATGGAAAAATGGAGCAGCAAACCTTGTAGCAAAAAGAAAAACCATCAGTCAAAATCACTGTCACCAGCGCCATCTGTCTTATTTAAATAAATTAAAAATGTAAACAGAGAACCACAAAACCACAGCAAATGTATCTTTTTAAAAATTAGATTATATTCTCATTATTATAAATTAACCAATAATGCCTAGGAAAACCTTAGAAAAAATATGCTGTGTGTGCTTAGGAACAAATTTTAAACTGAACAAGTTATCGGCAAAGGACGCAAATGAAATAGATTTTCATACAAAGCTGAAAATTTGCATTTCGGATATTGTAAGTTTGTTTAAATATAATTTAATGCCTACTTTACGCAATAATAGTTTAATTGGGGATACTTAACCCGTGATCTACACAATAATAACAGTAAATTGCTGCACCATCATCTAGTTTCAGTTCAACATCAGTTGGAGTTTAAGAGTAGAAGAAAAGAGAGGCAGATTTTGAGTTTGCTTTTACATTTTTATATAACAAGAAAAATTAGGTTTCCAAAACTTCCATCTAAAGTCGGTTGCACTTGTTCCTTTTTTGCTCCAAGCAGGTGCTAAGTCAAGATTTAGCTTTGGTGGATCATAAGAGAGAGAGGAGCACCCTCTATTACTGAAGCTGGTAAAGCATTTATCTTCAATCACTCATCTCAATTCTGAATGCGCTCCTGCTAATTTGGAACATTTTTAAGCATTCTGAGATGCTCTAGAGCACTTTACTTTAGAATAAATTTAGACCATTGATAAGCTTCAGAAGACTTTCAATTCAATATTCAATCCTCCTGTATTCGTTTTATACAAATTGGAACTTGCAGAAACATTGTAGAATGCTACAGAACACTTTAGGATAAAATTAGAATTTCAGAAACATTCTAGAACAGACCAGAACACTTTTGAACTTTGGGCAACATTTTAGAAAGCTTTTGGAATGCTCCAGAACACCTTACAAATCATATGGAACTTTTGGAAATGATCTAGAACTGGAGAAGATAAAATATCTTAAAAATCGTCACATGATACTTTAGAACTAACTTAAAACTTCCATGAACATATTAGAATACTCTAAAACACTTTTGAACTTATTCAGAGTTTTAATTAGAACTACCAAAAGGCGCTTAAGAATATTTGGGAGATTTCTGATAACTTTTAGAACATTCCAGCGCTTCAAGAGCATTAAGCAACCAATTGAAAACTTTAGAAAGCATTTTGAAAAGCTTCAGAATGCGCTCGTACAAATTTGGAACATTTTTAAGCATTTTGAGATGCTCTAGAACACTTTGGAATGAATTTAGAACTTTCATAAGCTTCAGAAGAGTTTCAATTCAATTTTCAATCTTCCTGCATTTGTTTCATACAAATTAGAAGTTGCAGGAACATTGTAGAACATTACAGAACACTTTAGAATGAAATCTGAATTTCAGAAACATTCTAGAACACTTCTGAACTTTCAGCAACATTTTAGAAACCTTTTGGAACGCTCTAGAACACCTTACCAATTATATGGAACTTTTGCAAAACAATCTAAAACTGGAAACTTTTAGAACATCTTAAAAATTGTCACGTTTGCCAATTCATACTATATTATATTAAACAGCTCCACAAGAATTCAATATACTTTTCCATCCTTTTCAGCACTGGTCAACTTCTTATCAAATATGCAAGGAATGCATAAAGCTCTTAGACATTTCATATACATTTAGGGAGACTTGTCTCAAGTCTGAAATTATTCGGCAAAGCGAAAAACCAGAACCAGAAGACGACCCTTTTGATAATAAAAACTTTAAGGCCTTCTATGTCAATGGTGTCTCAGAGGACGCGGTTGTTAAACAAGATCCAGAAATTTCGTCACAAGAAATTTCTGATGAAAAATTAAAAGATGAACCGCCTAATGAACATGATACAGAAGAAGCAAATCATGAAGATATCGAAACTTATTCCAGTGACCCAGAATGTAAATCTGAAGAACATCAAACTAACCCAAGAAAAAAAAGAAAAAAAATTACATTTGTTTGTGAAAAATGTGCACAAACTTTCAATTCTAGCACCAAATTGGTAAATCATTGTATAAAGTATCATGACATGAAGAAAATCGATGTTAGACCATTTATATGTGACAGGTAAAATTTAAAACCAATAAATTCTTATGTATATATAACACGAATTTTAGATGCCCAAGTAGATTTTGCAACTCCTCAAATCTCTTGCAACACATAAAGTATCACGACGCTGTAAGATCGAATGTATGCACCTATTGCGGTAAAGGATTCATCACAAAAACCGACCTAAACATTCACGAAAAACAACATTTAAACAAACGAGAATATCGTTGTGAAGACTGCGGAAAATGTTTCAACACGCATAAGGATGTCAGATCTCACAAACTCGTTGTGCACACTGACGCAAATAGTTGGAAGTATTGTTGCGAAATATGCCAGAAACCTTTTCCAATTAAATCTAATTACGATAGTCACATGAGAAGGCATACAGGAGATAAAAAGTTCGAGTGTCATTTGTGTCAACGGAAGTTTACCGATAAATGTGTATTGCAGAGGCACATGAGGACTCATTCGAATGTGAGAGAGTTTAGGTGCAGTTATTGTGATCGAGAATATAAGGATCCTAGAGTTTTAAGGGTAAGAATTTGTGTCACTATTTAATATACCAATGATGTTAAATATCCAATTTAGTTAACATTTTTTTCCCCATTTAACAGGTCCACATGGCAAAAATCCATGGCGTCGGAGTAGGTGAAGTAAAAATTCCTTCCAGAGAAAAGAAATATATCTGTCACATTTGTCCTAAGTCCTATTATGCTAAAAATAAGCTCACAAGACATTTGTATACTCACTCTGGTGAAAAACCGTACGATTGTCATATATGCGGTAAAAAGTTTAATGATAAATCATATGTTAAACAGCACTTGAAGAAAACTCATAATATGACTGATACAGATTCCCATGTACCTAATGTAGATAATGAATTGAAGCTGGTATTTACGGAATTTGGCAAAAATTAATTATTTTGAAAGCATATGGTGATATTTTATTTAATGCAATAGTTTATTAGGATATTCCTATTTCTATTCATGTGTATGTCTTTTTAATATTTTTCTATCCTACCTATGTGGGTTTATATGTTGTATTGTTTATAGTGTATTTGTAAATTTGTATATACAATTTTTAATTATATATTATTATGAATATGTAGTGTAATGATTTTATTAAATATAATTAATAGATTTTTATATGCATTTTGTTTTGGTGTAGACAGCCTTCTAGGATTAGAACCTGAGGCTTTCTGGGAATGCCCGATTCAATGGTGGTATTTGCAATGTTTACTGTATTTGAATAAGCTATAAAGAGCACTTAACACTTTCGAATTTCTTTATTCAACAGGTTTGCCTCTCCTCAAACAACTGTACAATCTTTTTACAACATGAGAAGTTAAAATTGCATAAACTTGCTAATAACGTCTAGAACTTTGATAAAGAAGAGTTCCCTTGTGTTCAGTACAAAACTGATACTAAATCTATCAGTGACCACAATGAAAAAAAAAAAAAAAAAGTTACTCATAATCAGATTTCCATTTATTATTTCCGTAAAATAATGTACATATAACATAGAAAAATTACCCTACATCTGAAAAATCTGTACCATATAGACTTTGCCGAGTATCGTTTACCATAAATACATCTCTTAACCTTTACAAAGGCAGTAACAATTATTATTCCGTCTTAAATGATTAGAGAATCATCGACAACAGAATAAAGAAAATCAAATCTCACTAATCAGAATCAGATCCGGACTCTGACAGGCACAAATCTTCGTCCAGCGTTGCCAGATCGTGGCCATTGACTTTGGTGGTCGGATTGGGGGCGTTACCGTAACCGTTTTTTATTTTAACGTTATCTGGAGCGTCGCTATCCGAGTCACTGTCACTACTTGAACTAGAGCTAAAATAAATATTTTATGTGCAAAGGCACAAAATTTGATAGTTATTTAATTTTTACCTGTCGCTCATAGTACCAACACCATTCTCATTATCACTATGGTCAGATAAAGGAGACACCCCTTTACCATTATTAACAGGGACCTGCACAGGTGGCGCTGAAAGCCGATTATGTTGCTGTTGAGGCGGAGGAGGAATGGGATCAGCAAAATCGTCCATTCCGATCATCGGAAGACTGGCAAGTATACTGGGATTATGCGTTTCAGCAGCAGCTGCAGTAGCATTGTACATGTCTCTCGATCGTCCGGGGCTCCTTTGACTGCCGACTCCTGCATTTGGAGAAGGATGATTGGGACTCGCCCTTAAAGGCGAGTGCTTCATCAGCTGGGTAATGGGTCGGTCAGGTCTTCGACTGCCAGATGTTACTCTGGTTTTGCTGGAAACTCTATGAGCTACTACATTGTTGGAAACTGGAGGTGTGGCTGCCCTTTGGGATAGGGATGAACTGTTTCCGCTTGCGTTACCGCCGCTGGATGATTGCAATCGATCTGAAAGAGAAGTTTTGAAACTTTTTACAAACAACAAAGCTGATAAATCAAGATAGAGGAGATCATTTATGTATATGAGGTCATGAGAAATAATATTGATTCTTGTGGAACCTGGAACCCCATGGAAAATTGTTTGATAAGAAGACCATTTTCCATCCAGGGTGACACGCTGACTATGATGTGAAAGATATTATTTCAACCGCTTTCAGGTCACACCCCAAAAGCTGTAGACCTCTAACTTCCTCAGCAATATTTAGTGACACACACAGTCAAGGGCCTTTGAGAAATCACAGAAGACCCCTGTAGTAGCAAAGCCATTGTTGTAGTTAATGCTTAAGAAGTTGTTCTAGCATGTGAAACATAGCATCATAGGTGCCTTTCTTAGGAAGGAATCTGAATTGGGCAGAGTTAACAACTGTAAGTTTTTTAATAAATTTTTCTACAACTTTGGATATTGTTGGTTTTCAACCTATGCTGTTATGGAAGTATAATATGTTTTTATATGGTAACATATTTTATCAGATATTCAAGGTGTTGGGTAATTTCTAGTTGAAAATGAATGTGGAAGTATTTGTTTGAACCTTACCATGGGGCAAAGGTGCCTTAGTAATCTCACTCCTAGTTTTCTTAACTTGTACGTTACAAGCCAACTTCTCCAACGTAATCTCTCCAGTCACTCTATCTATGATAAGGACACATTCCTTTGTGTATGGCCTTTGGGAACCTTTGAAGACTGTTTGGGAAGTTCCTGCACCATCTGAAAAACAATTTTGTATGTTAGTTAGATACATACTAGAAATGGATACAAAAATGGAGGAGAGAAACTTACCTAAGTGAGGTACTGTTACAGTCACTTGATGATTATCTCCCACATCTACAGAGGCTTTTTTGTTTGTGTCAACAGAGGCTGGTTTAAAATCATCTAGAAAAGAATATTCAAATTCTTGTAAATATTGGGTCTGTTTCTGCAGAAATCACAAACCAGTCAGAGCGAATTTCATTGGTTGAAAACAGTCAGAAAACTAGTTTCAACCAATGAAATTCACTCTGACTGGTTTGTGATTTCTGCAGAAACAGAACTCCTGAGTCGCCAAAGGAATTCAGCATAATATTTCTACTAACATTTTCATAAATAAATTTGTACCTGACTTATGCAATAACACAAATTATTGTTATAGATACAACTAAATCTATGCTATAGCTTGACCTTCTTTTGTGATTTTAATGCGTACATTTGGAATGCACGTAATTGGGAATTGATTTGTAGAAGAAATCTTGAAGGGAATAAAAAAAAAGGGTAGGGCAAGAGAACTAAATTCTAGGTAAAATATAGACAAATTCAAAAAGGATAACTTTGCAGCTATGAAGTAATAGGAAACATGTTTTTTCTCTAAGCACAAGAATACTTCTTTGGCCTTAGGTATATAGAGTGAAAAAATATGATAGAACCATCGAGATAGAACTCAAAATTTTTTGGTTTCCTTATGTTAAAATACCTTTAAAAACCTATACTAAAAAATGTCCAATTATAACAACTTACATCTGAATGTATGGAAAGTTTTCGACCTAGGATTGGTAAAACTCTGTCCTATTTTCAATACCCTCTCTTCACTGCCCAATCCAAGTCTATCTGCCATATTTTTCACTTTTACTCCATTTTTTGTACGAATTTCTTGCTAGAATTTGCAGAAATTCTATTAAACTCGATGAATTTCTTACACAAATCGGTCGGCCCGACTATTATCTCACTGGCTTCCAACAAATTTTGATTTTATCGCCCCAACTTCTTGTAGAATTCATCTAACATATGAACACACGTATTAAAAAAACTTTTATGAAATATTTTTGGCCTACTTATTGATGAATCTGACGTTACGCGGACGTTTGATTCAGTGGCGACATCTATTTGTTTTAACTCCTTTTTTTCTTAAGGTCCGTTCCCACATGGCGATTTAAGTTGAACGACACTTTTGAAGATCAACAGCTTACGTTGCTGGATTAAGATTAATCCAAGAACAAATCGTGTAGAGCGGTTTATTCCCGATTACCGGCCCAAATGTGTAAAAACGTACTGATAAATTAATTCGCTATTGTGATTAAAAGTCGTGTAGGTCATTCGAGGTCTGTTTCCACAGAAAGCACAGACCAGTCAGAACAAATTTCATTGGTTGACAATAGTCAGAAAACTGGTTGTTGGCTATTTGGACCAATCAAAAACGCTCTGACTAGTTTGTGATTTCTGTGGAAACAGACCTATGACCGATATTATTTTTAAAGCGTAATTAGTTGATCTTTCGAATAAAATGACGAAACACAACGGTTCTATTGCTCTATTTTTTACTCCTTTTGATCTGAACCGTTCTTTATTCACTCTGGAGCAATATGAGCTTTCGAGAGGTCTGTTTCTGCAGTAATCACAAACCAGTCAGAGTTAATTTCATTGCTTGAAAATAGTTTTTTTGACTGTTTCTGACTGTTTTCAACCAATGAAATTCTGCAGAAACAGACTTGAGGCCGATCATTTCATGAAATGTTTCACAACTATTCGAATACGTTTGTTCAAACTCCATTTCTTGAGACCGTACTGACTGAAATATATATAGCAGGCGCAAGCTTTGCACGGTTCCGGTACCAGTTTAGGATTGAACATCGGTTGGAACCATTTAAGACAGGAATGCGTTCGAAATCAGCCTGTGGGCGTCACACCTAATGCACACGGTTGCGTTTAGAAATAGCACTCTGGGCGTGAGAGTGACCCTAAAGTCACTCTAAACCGTTCATAAATTAACAGGTGCTTACTTGGAGCGTTACGCTGGAATCGTTTAGAAATCGAGAGTTGACGTGCCTAGAGTGCGCCCAAATCAACCCCACTCAGGGATTGGGTTGAAAAACGTCCCGCGGTTTTTACATTGGTTTTCACCGGGTTTGACGTGATTCATGACGTTCACAAATAGCGCACTCAGAGTGCACTCCAAGTGATGACGTCAGAACACTCTGACAAACAACTACTCTACCTACACACTCCATTTCTAAACGCACTCCAGCTATGAATAATTCATGGCTGGTGTGCACTCGGTGTCACACCTAGGCGATTTTGAACGCAATCCAGGATGGGTTTTTTCCTGTTAAAATCTGTTTTTTTTTTAAAGATAAAAGTCAAAATGACATTATGTTGGCAATACAATCTAGAACTGTCAATGCTTTCAAATTCTTTATTTAGAAAAGGCTTGTGTTGCCAACATAGTTTTTGACTTGGGGAATTATCTTTAAAAAAAAAACAGACTTTACACTTTTGTTTTGCCCTATTTTAGGTCTGTTCACACATAAATTACAAACCAGTCAGGGGGCTTTATTTGAAATTGATGCAATTTTGCGTACACGCAAATGACGTCATTCGTGATTGGAAATTGGTGAACAACTTATTTGACATGCACTTTTTTAATCGCAACTAACGTCACTTGCGTCATATTTGCGTTTAAGCAAAGTTGCATCAAATTCAAATAAAGCCCCCCTGAGCGTTTTTGACTGGTGCTAATCGCCAACAAACAGTTTTCCAACTATTTTCAATTAATGGAATTCACTCTGACTGGTTTGTGATTTCTGGGAGAAGACCGAACTGTCCGGAAACCGTTCTAGAACTATAACAAAGTTGGCTGGAACAAGGCTGGAACCAATTAGGCAATTCAAACCACGTGACATTCAAGATGGCGTGGCGGCCACACATGGGCCAAAAAACACAAAAAAATATCTAGTTTCTGCCGGAATTAATAGTTCAGGTACCTAGTCAACAAATATTTTATTAAATAATGAAAATCAAAGTTGTTAGCAAAACTGTATGCAAAATAATTTAAAATACGCATAAAAACATATCCAAAACAAACTTGCTTGGCCGCCACGTCACATTGAATTTTCCGTTTTGACAGATGGATTGAATTGCCTAATGGTTGGAACGCAAAGAGAATTCGGATGTTCGAACAGTTAGTTTAAATGTTGGAACGCTTTTGTTAAAATGCGGATTTTTGGGGCCATTCCTGAACGATTCTCGGTGAGTTTGGAACATTCTGAACTGATCCCCGAACTAGAACGATTCGAAAATAATGGATTCTGGTGGGGCTGAAGAGCGTATGCTTAACTAAAAGCCCTCTTGAGTTTTGGCTTAAAGCTGCAACCGATTCACATGTTCGGGTTAAACCGGAACGTTGCTCTCAGTGAGATCCACGTGTTAGAGTTGAGTAATAGAACGCTCTCAAATCTTGCACGAAGCGCGGATTATAATCACTACTGGGTAGAAATAGCACTATGGGTGTTAGAGTGACCCTAGAGTAACTCTAGCCGTTCATAAATTAACAGGTGCTTATTCGGAGCGCTAAGCTGGAGTTTCATGCATCCGTTTTTCCGACAAAAGATGTCCGAAAAACATTCTATTCTGACATAATCGTATAAAAATATGTCAAAATAGAAGATTTTTCGGGGATAATACCACGAGAGCTTCAAAATTATCTGGTTCATTTTAAAGCTCAAGTGGTATTTAGAGGATTATTCCACTCATGTGTTAGAAATCCCATAAGACAAGTGACGATTTTCAAAATGACAGCGAAAATTCTTTTTTCCATTAGTTTAACTAGAGAGAATTACAGCGATAATTCTCCTATGTTATTGTATACATGATTGTCATACTAATTTTTGATACAAACGAACAGTTGTTACCAGCCATTCAATTGTACCAATACAAACAAACGGATCCTGTTAGCAACCATATTTTTTCCTTATTTTTTGCATTTTTTTTCGTGAAATAATCCTCGAAATACCACTCGAGCTTTAAAATGGACCAGATAATTTTTAAGCTCTCGTGGTATTATCCCCGATTATTTCACGTATGAGAATGCAAAAAATATGGAAATAAATATGTATTAAACGATTTGAAGATCTTAACAATCAATACAAATAAATGGTTGCTATCAGGAACGGTTTGTTTGTATCAAAAATTAGCATGACAACCTCGATGACAACCATGTATACAATAACATGGGAGAATTATCGCTGTAATTCTCTCTAGTTAAACAAATGGAGAAGAGAATTTTCGCTGTAATTCTGAAAATCGTCACTTGTCTTATGGGATTTCTAACACATGAGTGGAATAATCGGACATATTTCGTCGGAAAACGGATGCTCGTCGGAAAACGGATGCATGAAATTCCGGCCTTAAGCCTAGTACTCATAACTGCGAAATTCGCATTTTTTTGACATTGCGTTGACAATTTGACGTTTTATGCGTGTATCAAACGTCAAATTGTCAACGCAATGTCAAAAAAATGCGAATTTCGCAGTTATGAGTACTAGGCTTTACGCTGGAATCGTTCAGAAATCGAGAGTTGACGTGCCCAGCGTGCGCCCAAATTACCCCACCCAGGGACTGGGCTGAAAAACGCCCCACGGTTTTTACTGGGTTTGACGTCTTTCTACATTTTATTGGCCGCGTTCACCAGATACAAACGTTGGTAAACGGTTTGCGATTGTTCTGCTGAACGCTACGTTGAATTTGTGTTGAAACCAAATATGTTTTGCAAACGGTCACCATTTTTGCAAGCATAATTTCAGAGTGTTTAAAATTTTCAACACTGTGTTTTGTGTGATGACCTGTCATTCAGAAGGTGACGTTCTATCATTGGAAAGTTGAATCGTTCAGCAGAACCAAGACTTTACCCAACATATTCTGTTAGTATTTTTAAACTGCTTACAATCCGTTTTGGTTCTGGTGAACGTAGCCAATAGTTATATTCCTTTCAAGAGTTTGAAACACTCGAGCTACTCGCTCCGGTGTTTAGTAGCCTCCGATTTGCAGGGAACAGATGCGTGGTGCAATAAATAGTTTTCGAAAGGAATAGGGACGTGAAACCCCGGAGCTGTTCCGGAGCTCCTCCTAGGTGTGAAAGGAATACAACTATTGACACCGCAACGTACCAATACGTTCAGAAATAGCGCACCCAGAGTGCACTCCAAGTGATGACGTCAGAACACTCTGACCAACAACTATTCTACTTTCACACTCCATTTCTAAACGTACTCTAGCAGATATCTGTGACGTCACTGCACAGTCGGGGAGCGCTCTTGGAGCATTAAAGCCAAAAATGGTATAAGAAAAAGTTCAGGATTTGCGATTCGAAACGGATTCACATGTTCGGCTCAAAACGGACCGTTGCTATCGGTGGGATTCAGGTGTTCGACTTGAGCAACAGAACGGCCTCAAATCTTGCTTTCTTGCTCCGTTAAATTCGATGGTCCAAAGAGTTGGATCAAGACCAGTATGTTCGGCTATTGATTTCAGATGGATTATAAACGCTTTTGGAGCACTCCCGTGTGCCTTCACCGCCCGTTCGCCCATACAGAGCGCTCTGGGAGCAGTAAAGCTGGAAATGTTATTAGGTTTGTTTGGACCAATGAACGATGTTCGGACTTAGTTCAGAATCAGTGCTGAATTAAACTGCGCTTGCAGATTTCGGGTAGATGTCGATCGTTTTTTCAGAATCGTAATCGAATCGAGTTCCAAGCGTTTTGGTTTATTAAGCTTGCGTGCGGTATTTTGCTCAAAGAGCAGAGTGTGCTGAATCGGAGACGTAATCACGTGAGCAACGAGCGCATATAGCAGTTAAACGCTGTATCAGAGCGCTCGAAATTTGAGTAAACGAACGCGAATGAGTCTGCACCGAACAGACTTTTTAAATAAACGAACGATAATTTCAAGCTCGGAGAACTCAGATCAAAATACCGAACGCAAGGTTAGAACTATAAAAGAACAATTCTGGGATTATTTTAGAACGGTGCTCTCAGTTCTTGCTCTGAAGGAGGAACTGTTTTAGAATTTTGTGAATTGCGGCTTGTTTCGCTTATACTGCACATAATAGATAGGTCGCGGGTGACGTCATGAAAGTAGAATTCTACTCGTCGTGTCGTGATCCCAGCTCTGTGCAATCCCAGAACCGTTCCAAATTTTTAATCGAAACAAGCCTTGTTTGAACTTATTCCGGACTTTGTTAGTTTGGTTCGAACATACTTTTTGCCGTAGAGGGTAGAGGGTATCTCAAATAAGAACAAGTTCCAGGATGTTATTTTGCCAGGAACAAATCGAACAGGAAACGGAGCCGGTGGAATTAGGTCAGTCAGGATTGATCTGGAACTATCCTAGGTGTTCCAATGTCAAGAATTTCTTCCCCTGTGGGGCTGCCACTAAAGACGCCCAGGCGCACTTCGGGCGCGCTCCAGCGTCCGGATAAGTCATTCACGGATCGGGATGCTCCAAAAATGAACTAAACTATGAATGTACGTGATTCGAAATCAAAACATAAAACATGTAGAGTTGTGGAGATAACAAATTACACAATTCACCTTGGTTAAGGTGTTTCGTATCTCGTTTATGTCACTCCAACTACCCGAGTAAGATTACCTGGGTAGAATATAACGTGGGTTGTCGAATCGTGAAAGCATCCTAGGAGCTGGGATCACGACAAGTAGAATTCCATTGGAATTCTGAAATAATTTCATGATGTCAGTTGCCTGATAACTTTATGACGTCATCCGGGGTGCCTCAACATAATGCAAATCTCCATAAGGCACCTTAGACGCGTCATCAAGTTACCCATTACCAGACAACCTATGAACTTTAGGAACCTTGATCCCAGCCCTGGATTCACGAAGTGACTTGTTCAAATTATTTCAATAGTTTGACCAAAGTAGGGTGCGTTCCAGTGAAACAACAGTTGTTTGGAGCACCAGAGTGTGGAGCTACGGTTGTGGAGCACCTCAAAATTCAACACTGGAAAACGGCTCTGTGCAGATACAAATGAAAACCCCCCTTGAAAATTTTGTGATTGTCAGTCTTACGTCAAAATGTCGTAACTTTTTTTTACCTATCAAAAGTTGGGGTATGCAAAGTTTATCAAAAAACTTTGCTAAAAATTATTAATTTTTAAAGTGAATAAAGTGAAATAAATACTATTTTTTATTTGATTCTTCACTATTAGAGGTAAGTCGTTTCTTTCCAAGGTGTTTATATCTTCAAAACCCAAGATTTCCAAGAAAATATGGGCCTACAATCTAACCACATGTTTGAAAGTTTTTAGCTGTTATTAATAATTTCTGGGCAGTTTTTCAAATATAAATTCATAAACTCTTGTTCCTGAGGTACAAATTATTTATATAAACACCAAAAACTTACAGGAAATAACGTAAACATTTTTTATAATATTTGAGGTTATATCTAAAGCCGAAATAGCTTTAAAACTAAAAATTTTACTCACCCTTATCGTCAGCATTATCTCATCTATCCAAAATCCAAAGTTAATTCAATATAACCCTGTATACAAATAACATAAACTAAATTTCAGATCTTCATTAAACAATCATGAGTCGTTTCTTTGCTGGTTCAGATTCTGAATCAGATAGTTCATCTGAGGAGGAGGTTATTCAGCGCCCAGCAGGGCCAGCAATATTCACTGTAAGAATATTTAAAATTTATGTGTGCAAGTGTAATATAGTTTATTAATTTTTTAGTTTTCTGATGATGAAGAAGAAGTTAAAAGGGTGGTTCGTTCAGCAAAAGAAAAACGTTATGAAGAACTTACCAACATTATTAAACAAATCAGAAATTTCAAGAAGATTAAGGATATGGCAAGCATGCTCAACAGTAAGATTTCTCCCTTAAAAAATTAGTACAAGTTTGTATACAATCCATTTTAGGCTTTGAAGATCTTCAAAAAGCTTATGTAAAAGCTGCTCCGGTTATTACAAAAGAAGAAAATGGCCAAACTCCTAGATTTTTTGTAAGATGTTTAGTAGAAATGGAGGATTTCATTAATGAAACTTGGGAAGATAGGGAGTTTAGGAAGAATATGAATAAAAACAACAGCAAATCATTAGCTTCCATGCGTCAAAAGCTAAGAAAATACCTTAAGGATTTCGAAGATGATATTGCTAAATTTAGAGAAACTCCTGATCAGCCAGATGATGATGAGGAGGAGGAGAAAAGTAAATATTTACGCATGCTCAATAAATTATCACCTATTTCAATAATATTTCTTAGATGAAGTCAAGGAAGACTCTGATGATGAACCACCCTCAAAGAATCAGTTTGTTAAAACTCCAGCAGCTGCTTTCCAAGCCACAAAGCAGGTTGACTCTGATTCTGATTCAGATGAGTGGCCATCAGATTCTGAATCCAGTTCTGATACATCTGACGAAGATGGAAAGTATAACAGGAAGAGGTAAGCGAATGAATAAGTGTCATACAAAAAGGAATTAAACCCAAGTAAAAACCAACAAAAGACAAAAAAGTTGATTTTTAAAATTCAAATTTTTAGAATCTGAGGCTTTTGATTGTGTTAGCTAGTTTTATTTCTCAATAATTTATGCAAAAATGTAGGGACCTAAATGTTTTATAGATTCTTCAAAAAGAAGGATGGCGATGAAGAAAAAAAAGAGAAAAAAGAAGAAAAACGCAAAGAAAGAAAAGAAAAGGAAATTAGAAAGTTGAGAAAACAAGCTGAAGATGAAGATGGCGATGGAGAAGGTTGGGAAAAAGTTAAATATGGCATTGCTATACCTAGTGTAAGTAATATTTATTAATTTTACCTAAAAATTACTGAAAAATCCAATTATCATTATTATTAGGAAAAACCCAAAATGTTTGCAAAGGACGCCGAAATCGACCTGAATCTTGTCATTAAGAAACTAAGTGAAATCATGGCAGCCAGAGGTAAAAAGCGTACTGACAGAAGAGAGCAAATCGAATTGCTCCACGAGCTGCAGACCATTTCAGACCAGCATAAATTAGGTGCAGCCATATTTGTCAAAATTAAGTTTGCCATAATTTCAGCCATTTTCGATTACAATCCTAAAGTGTCTAATGCTATGAAGGTAAGTTTTAGAACTTTTAGTATAATATTTTATAAGTATTGATTGTTTTCAGCCTGAACATTGGATAAAACTTCTGGAAAGAATGCACGAGATGTTGGATATTTTAATGGATAATCCAAATCTTGTGGTTGCGGAATCTGTAACTGAAGAAAATGAAAGTTTAGAAGAGGCACCTTTTAAGATAAGAGGTTGTGTCCTTACTTCTGTGGAGCGTCTTGACGATGAGTTCACAAAACTTCTCAAAGAATGCGACCCACATTCTAATGAATATGTTGAGCGTCTAAAAGATGAGTCTAAAGTATCAGTCATTATTGATAAAACCATGAAGTACCTGGAAAGGTCTAATGTTCCTTCTGAACTGTGCCGAATTTACTTGCGCAAAATTGAACACATTTACTACAAGTTCGATCCCAGGGTGCTACAGAAAAAGAACAATGAGCTACCCAGCGACATCGTCACTTCAGTTCAAGAAATGAACAGACTCTGCAAATTCATCTACGCAAAAGACAACACCGACCGGTTGAGAACCAGAGCCATTTTGTCTCACATTTATCATCACGCTCTGCACGATAATTGGTTCCAAGCCAGGGACTTGGTTCTGATGTCTCACTTGCAAGAAACCATTCAGCATTCCGATCCCAGCACTCAAATTTTGTACAATCGTATGATGGCTCATCTTGGACTTTGTGCTTTTAGGCACGCCAACATCAAGGATGCTCATAATTGTTTGGTGGATCTTATGATGACTGGCAAACCCAAAGAGTTGTTAGCACAGGGTGAGTTCTGATTTCACCTCATTTATTTTTCATATAACAAACATTTTAAGACATATTTATTAGCAGTTAACTCAATTTATGATTATTAAAGTATTTCAGTCTAAATTTATATTTTGCAGGTCTTTTGCCACAAAGACAACACGAACGTTCCAAGGAACAAGAGAAAATCGAAAAACAACGTCAAATGCCGTTCCACATGCACATCAACTTGGAACTGCTGGAATGCGTTTATTTGGTGTCTGCAATGTTGATCGAGATCCCATATATGGCGGCTCACGAATTCGATGCTAGACGCCGCATGATTTCCAAAACGTTTTACCAGCAACTGAGGTCTTCAGAGAGGCAGAGTTTAGTTGGTCCACCGGAAAGCATGAGGGAACATGTGGTGGCTGCTGCTAAGGCTATGCGGAACGGTAACTGGTCAGCATGCAATAATTTCATTATCAATGAAAAGATGAACGCGAAAGTTTGGGATTTGTTTTATCAAGCTGATTCTGCTAGGTAAGGATTCTGTAATTTAGGTATTATAATAGTTGAATAATTTATATTTTAGGGCAATGTTGACTAAATTAATCAAGGAAGAATCATTGAGAACTTATTTGTTCACTTATTCCCACGTCTACGATTCCATTTCAATGTCGACTCTGTCTGAAATGTTTGAACTGGAAAAACCTGTTGTCCACTCGATCATTTCCAAAATGATCATCAACGAAGAATTAATGGCTTCCTTGGACGATCCTACTCAGACTGTAGTGATGCACAGGAGCGAACCGTCAAGGCTGCAATCTTTGGCCTTACAACTCGCTGATAAAATTAACAACTTCGTCGATTCCAATGAGAGGATTTTGGAAACGAAACAGGGCAACTTCTTTTTACGTGGTGGAAATCAGGGCAACTTCCGAGGCGACAGGCAAAACTACAGAGGCAACAATCAGAATTGGGACAGGCGTCGTGAGCGCGAACACAGGAACAAGGAAAACTATTAGGAAAATCATAATTTTGTACTGTTTATGCGTTTGTGTCTTTGTAAAAGTTGCCCCCCTACCACGTATTTTATTAATTTAACAACATGGTCTTCTATTTTCCTAGTTTTAGGGTAATAGGAGTCAAAATTAATAAATATAACGTTATATTGGATATTTTTGGTTTTATTTATTATACTGGGTATCCGAAATAACTTGGAGGGGGAAACCATTCAAGATACAAGGTAGACCAGATAGGGAAAAAGTTGTGCAGTCAAGTGCCTACAAATAATCTGTCATGTCAACTTCTTTTAACACGTTCGCTGCCAAGTACGAGTTAACTCCTAGTAGACAATCTTATTACAGGCGCCAGCTACGAGATGACTCGTATTTTGCATCGTGTCGTTCAAAGTCAAGTACGAGTATATTTGTTGTAAATACAGGTTAATGGGGGTGCCTGGCCTACGGGACATGTATAAGAATATCACACAGACATAGTTGAACAAAAAAAAAAATTTTTTAAACATGCTAGTCCTTGGTATTGTATGGTATGGTATTTTTTTTTGCAAAAATATGGGTCAGATACTACTTTGGATGAATATTTTATGTTATTTAGACCTATTTCGATGATAAAATATAGTTTTTCAACATTGGCATTTTGGACCCGATCAACCGAAATCTCTCTGGCAGAGAACGTGTTAACTTGGAACGCATGTACAGGGTGAAAAAGAGAAAAGTTCATTTGATAAAATCCTTTAAATTATCTTGTTTATTATAAAAAATACAATCCCAGACAGACAGATTATGGTTTCGAAAATCCCCATGTACTTTGCGAAAAAAAAAAAAACCAAGAATACGAAAAGGTAGGTACCTCAATAGATAAGTTTGAAAAACCTAGGTCTGAAAGTGAAACACGTCCGGAAAGTATTTGTTTCAGGAAACATCTCACTCATACCTGTGTGTGTGTTTTACTATACAGTAGTATAAAATAAATTGATTAAAATAATCAGTCTATATTAATTTATTCATTAAAAAGATTTACATCAAATTCAAAATAGACCAAAAGTGTTGTCCAGTCGTTTTCGCCGTGTGTCCTCTTATAGGTACAAAGCAGGTGCTGAGTAAGCAGAGTAAGCTAGAGGAGCAGCTGCGTAGCTTGAAACTATTGCAGGCGCACTGTAAGCTGGTGCGCTGTAAGAGTACTGGGAGCTGTAAGCTAACGGAGCGCTGTAGGCCAATGGGGCGTTGTATAGAAGTGCGCCTGGCTTAGGGGCTGCGCAAGCTAGGGCTAGGATGGTGGCGAAAACAACAGCTACCTGAAAAAATATATATATATATATATATTTACATATTTGTATTTGTATTTTAACGTCTGTTTGAAATTTTGATTGTACATTATGTAGGTATTTTGTTTTGTACCTAGGAAATTAAATTTTGATTTATGTATGTAATTAAATATGAAATAAATGAAGAGTACTTACAAACTTGAACATTTTGAGGTTTTTTTGGGTCGTACTGATTTGATACTTATTGATCAAATGATGCAAGTGGTAAATCGATGAAGGCTTTTATATGAACCGAGAGAAGTAGGTACCATCAGCAATGCACCTTGAATTTTTTTTTTTTTGAAATTGTTCGGCATTAAACTGGCTTTTTTAATTTATTTTAAGAGCAAGGAAATGAGTTTGACTTCTTTTTTTTTAGGCAATAAATTTCAATCTTCATTTATAAAAAATAGAAACAATAGAGGACCGAAGTTTTTTCTTGAATATTTTTATTATTGAAAGGACCGCGCTGCACCCAATTTCTCGGTGAAATAATTCATGCCAAAGATTAGTTTAAAATTCAAGGAGACTTTTTTTGGTCAAATTTATTATTATATGATAAATTTGACCAAAAATATAAGTCACTTGTAGTTGTGTAATCGGTTCATATGAGTTTTCAAAAATTCACGTCTGGGGGATATTTCCTCCCAAAATGGTCAAATCTCAAATTTTTGTGTGTTTAGATTCCGACTCTAGACGATCATTAGGGACCTCAGAAACTTCACACAGTGATTTATTGTGGGATTTCAAGCCGAAATATATGAAAAAAAGGACCTCAGAAAAAGTCAAAAATCCAAAAATTCATCCCAAATTCCTTAAAGCGATTTTTTCTCAGGAGCTATATAAGTCCAAATTAAGGTGAAATTTTGCAGGGTTTGTAGTCCTTTAACTATAAGAATCGCTGAAAATTTCAACATTCCATCCTGTGATGGAAAAACAATTATGATTTTTCAACTTTTTGAACTTTTTTATGCTGAGATTTTATACTTGTATATCATTTGGGACCCCCAAACTCCATACACTCAATTATTCTGAGATTTGAAGCCGAAACCCTTATTTCTTTTATGCTAAACTCTTGATTTTTTTAATCTCTATTCCTGGTTTTCTGTATTTCTTCCACAATTAGGTCTGTACCTGTTTGCGTTTGAAAGAGACAAAAATTCAAGAGTTGCTTCGAAAACGAAAATTAAAAGGAAGAAAATTAGGAGTAAAGAAGGAAAATTACCAAAAAAAATACAAATGTTTTCATTTGAAGTGTTTAAATTTTAATTTTTTATATACAGGTAATTCCAATTCTTGAATTTCCTTTATTTTTCCATGCCATCAAGCACTTGATTTTTTTTTAAATTTCTATTCCTTGTTTTCCAGAGTTAGCTAATTTTCTGTAGGTACCTACCTAAATATGAGGTATATTTTCAACTGCCTCTACAGGGTGATTTACGTAGCCCGTGTATTAGCTTGCAGGTGGATTAGATGATATTTTTATTAATCCACCTGCAAACTTGAGAACTTTTAATGCACGGGCTATACGTAAATCATGGTGTATAGAAACTTTGAGGTTGTTCAATCATTCTCAATAAAACATTTAACTTTTGTCTTTCAAAAAATTTATTCTTAAACTATTTTTACAAAATCCAATTCATCCATAAATTCGTCGCCAAGAATCCGTAGGCATTTTTCTAATATACAACAGTTGGATGTCCAGCATAGGCGGAGTATGCCAATGGTGCTGCATAACCTGAAACTACAGATGGACCTGCCGAGTAGGCCAATGGAGCGCTGTAGCCGGTGTAAGCTAATGGAGACGAGTAACTGGAGTAAGCTAATGGAGTTCCATAATTGTAGGCAACTACACCTGGCTTTGGTGCGGGTTCTGCGAAAGCTACAGCCAATACGGCGGCGAATACTACAGCGAACTAAAAGAAGAATTTAATTAATGTTATCAGCAATAAAAAAAGTTAAGTTTCAGTCATTTTATCTACTTCAATACAAAAATTTCAACTTTTGGATTGAAAAGGAAACATTTTAAGTAATTTTATAAATGTAATCTATTCTGCTAGGTAGGTAGGACTTACGAATTTGAACATCTTTGTTGTTGGTTACTTGATTTTACAGAATCAACTGATACAATTCACCTAATTTCAATTGACTATATATAATGAATAAAATTGCAAAAAAAAATCCGCCTTGGATTTTATGTTAATTAGTAGATTGACAATAAATTGGGTGTGGTGTGGGATTGATAATGAAAAAAATTGGTCCGGGATGTTCAACATATTATATCTAGTTAATTATTGTTTGCTTATATATGATGTATAATTAAAAAAAGCGAAATGACTCCTACTGAAACTGGTTGAAATAGGTACCACAACATCCTGTTTCATAATCTGATTTGGGTGTCCGAATTTAACAGTTTAGTGATTTGTCTTTTAAGAATTTACACCGTTTAACCATTAGCAAAACTATTCTATGGAATTGGTTCAATTTATCAATTCTGATGGGTATTTTATATTTTTTGAATTTTTTATACCAAAGTATCTACACAATGAGGCTTATTGTTCCAGCAAGATGTCGGTGAATGATGGAAGAGTATAAATATCTCAACGAGCTAATTTGTTCGTAATGGATTTTCAATTTTCTATATACAGGGTGTCCCACGAGGTTTTTCCCAAATGATAACTTCGGAACGCATCATCGTTCGTTCCACTGTATAGTTTTTTATCATTTTCTTTAATAAAGCCTAACAAATATGGCATTGCCGATTGTGTAATTTAATTTTCTAACGAAAAATGACATAATATACCACCATGAGTTACATTTAAAATTCAAAAGTTGACGTCATTTGACCGAAATTGAAGCGAAAGTGGTGAAACTGGATGACAATAAATTAATGGTAGAAGCGGCACAAAAAGTTACCCAGATCCTCAAAATTTCAATTATATTGGATGACGCGTTCCGAAGTTATTACCTGGGGAAAACGTCGTGGGACACCCTGTATATATAATTATAGGCTTATACTTATACCATTCTACGTCTTCCGATTCCCGATCTCTGTCAATCCAGCCAGACATCCTCCTACAAGCATTTGTCTCTCATTTTCTCGTCTACTCCACTTCTTCAGTTTCTTCTCGTCTTCTTATTTGTAATGATTTGCTTGGACATTATCTTATAAAAAGGTCATAAATACATTTTTTAGGCAGACGTTTGGAAGACATTGGGGTTTTGTAACATACGACGTCTTTAAGATGCCTTGAACACGCAAGTAGGCGTCTGAAAAAACGTCTTGAATAGCGTTTGTGAACATCTTAGGGACGTTTTTAAGATGTCTTCAAGAACTTCCCATAGAATTCGTTTTTCATTCAATTTAGAAGTTACTGGAAACCATTTAAAATGCTTCAAAACACTTTAGAACTGTAATAAGCCCTTTGGAAAGTTCATATCACTTAAAGTTCAATTCAGAATTTCCAAAAGCATTCTGTAGCGCTTCAGAATAATTTGGAAACTTTGAAACCATCATTTTAGAATGCTTCAAAGCATTCAAAAACCGATTTAGAATGTACAAAGCATTTAAGAAGAATTCAAAAGTTTGAAACTCATTTTAGGACGCTCTAAAACACTCAAAAAGTCTTGAATCTCCAGAAACATTTTGAAATGCGCCAGAAGAAGGATTCAGGTCAAAAATTACAAAAAGCCTTCAAGGCTTTGAAGAGAGACTTCAAATTGCTGTAGAACTTTTAACCTTTAATAAACATTCTCAGGAGCATTTTAAAACAAATTTAGAATTATTTCAGAAAAATAAAGATTCAAGTTAGAACTGGAAACCTAGAACTCTAATGGTTCTAAAATACTTAAAAATCTGTCAGAACAATTTAGAAATTGCTGAAAAACTTCTTAAATGCTCCAGAACTTTTCAAGCCAAGTTAGAACACTTTAGGAATTTAATAAGCAATTTAGAACGTTCCAAAACACTTTCCAGCAGCATTTTGAAAAGCTCCAGAACAATTTAAATATCTCAGATTATTTCAAAGAGCCTACTGCCTGGAATAGAAAAAAATTGAGAGTTATAAAATGCAGTAATAATAAGGAAATACATATTACTATTAGCCTAGAAAATGTTTCCCTTTCAATTCAAATTTTTAAATTTTTATAATTTTTCCTATTCCAGGCGGCTCTTGATTTTTCCTTATTTCTTTATTCAACATCCTTAATCTTCCATATGCACCACAAAAACTTCAGAGAATGGGGAATCCAGAAATGGAACAAATGATATAAGTGGTTGAAAAACTTCAAAAGTAGAAATACCACATAAATGTCCTCAACTTATTATTTTGGACATTGCAATAGTGCATTTGATACTAAAAGATCTGAATAGAACATAGGATGTCAAAAAATTGAAAAAATTGAGATTTTCAATTAACTTCGAACCAGCCTTTAGGAAAACCCTAAAGTCGAAATAACAGAACATTTGAGAAAAATAATGTAGGTGCGATATGAAACTGATACGATCTGTATTGGAGACGAAAAAAAATTTAGATAGAAAAAAAAAGAATCAATCAATAATATCTGTAAATTCAATAGATGCTGGTGAATGAAGACGAGAAGATCACTTCACAATGAAAAATTATTAGAGACTGATTTCTGATGCCCTTTCTGTGTGTCTCATACCCACTTTGCATGGTACTATAACAAACGTGAAACTTTAATTTTTTTCATAAGAAATTCTCACTAAAATGTAAAAATTGTATAGAACATATTTCTTTGACAAACTTCACTTCCTTTATAAAAAAAACCAGGTTTTTAGTTATCATTTATGCCCTCCAATTGTCTTAATATTTATAATTATTGGTATCAACCAAAATGAAAAACCGGCTTCCAGTGATTTCAGTGTCCTTCATTCTTATTCGGTTGCAGTCAACCAACTCTAAAAAAATACTTAATGCCAAGGCAAACTGTGTAGGTATGTGTTTTTTTTCTGGTTTAATAATCCTCAGATTCAAATTAAATTTGGTACTTAGACTTAAAGTAAGTAACGCATATTTAATTTCAAAATACAAAGTATTTTGTATGCAATATACCTACCTAAAATTTCAGTCAAGGCTCAAGACATTTAAACAATGTTAAAGGATCGACACTTTGAGAATATTTAATTGATGATTGCCAAACTTTTGAGATTTTATGTGCAGTTTGCAGTACTACTCTGGGAATAGAAAACAATAATTTCGAAGCAATTTTTTTCTGGTGTGATAAATTAAGAAAAAACAATAATCTCTCTTGCATAAGAGTAAAATAATAATGCTGGAAAAAAACAAATGCATCTTTAACCAAATGAATAGATAATCGTTCCAGTCTAATTCACAACTTATTTCGTTGAAAATAAATCTTGGAATTTACGTCTTTTTCAATTGCGTAATCCCTACGGAATAACTAAAAAAAACACAAGAAGTTTTAAAGTTCAAGGCAAATTAAATTCGTAGGTAGATAAATTTTCCTCTTGTTTTAAACCTTCAGCAACAGCTTTCAAGCTTCATAAACGATAATTTCATCAAAAATGTTTTTGATGCAACTAACTGCGTCATTCGTTGGTCATATAATTAATTTGATCAAAACACTTAAATACGTTTTTCGAATTTATTTTTACACACAAACAATTCAAATATGGTTAATCTAAGACAATTAATCTAAAACAAAAATTTAAATAATTACACAAATTCCAAAAAAAAAATACTTTGGCACATAAATACCTAGGTACGCAAGAACTGTTTAAAATTCAAGATAGCAACTTACGATTATAGTGTTAAAATTGGTACGACCTCAAGTGCGTGTACTAATAACAAATTGCATTTAGTATAAAAGGCCGAAAAAATTTGAAAAAAATCATCAGTTGAATTCGACTAGCTAACAAACAAACTACAACAAAATGTACAAACTAATTGTAAGTATAATAATTTTCATTTTGATTTAGGTATAACAAAATCTATTAATATTTTCCAGATCTTATTATTTGTTGCAATTTTTGCCATGGCTTTTGCCACTCCAGTACCAGAAGCCGATCCGAAGCCAGCAGCTAAGCCAGGAGTTTTCGCTGCAGCCTACACAGCTCCTCTAGCTTACTCTGCCTACTCAGCTCCTTTAGCTTACTCAGCTTACAGTGCGCCTCTTACCTACGCAGCCAGTCCGTTCGCTTACAGCGCATACCCAGCTTACTCGGCTTATGCTGCTCCTTACGTTGTTGTTTGATAATTTTTATTTGATGTTGCAAAATTGTTTTCGGTTATAAAGTGATTAAATGAAATGGCATTTGAATAGTTTGTAGTTATTTAAAACATTGCTGAAGCTAGGAACTTATAGCAGATGCTTACACCAGCTAACTATACCTAGCTTACAGCGCATATCCAGCTTCAGTTTACATAGCATATATTCTGCTTCCTAAGTTGTTAAGAATTTTATTGGTAGGTACAAAATGTTGCATAAGTAATAATGGAAACTTTCACGTAATATAAACGTGAAATCTTAAACGAGGGAATATAAATTTAAAATAATTAAAACGCGCCAGACGATGACGTATCAAAAACAACTCCAATCAAATTAATGTTGCGGTTGCCGGTTGCCGCTGGTAAAAGGTTTGATTGCGCTGTTGCCAATTGTGACGATATGCAGTACCTAAGCTAAGTCGTGCAAACAAAAACTAAAACTGAATATGAAAATAAACCTTAGATTATGAAAACCAAACAAATAGTTGGGAAACGATAAATTTTTTATTTTTATTCTTTTACAGGGTTTCGGAGGTAAGAGAGACACATCATAGATGCTTGAACGTTGTCGCCATATTGAATTTATGTTTTCACGAGTTTTTTGGATTGCCCATAAGTATGTATTGACAATACATACCTAAGCTTGAGCTTGAATAATAGCATTAAGTTACCTATATAAAAAAAATCCACAAACTCGTAGAAAAATAGCGTTTGTCTCTTCGGAAAGTCTCCTTTCGTTACTTGAATACATGGCCGAACTACAATCGCGTGCGGAAAAGTGGCACTTTTCGCACTAGCTAGGAAATACCATTTAAAACGAAACAGGTTCAATATCTTATGTCAATTTTATTTTTTTTGAAATCGCTCGTACACGTAATTTGATTGCGTGACTGTTTGAAACATTTGCAGCACTAACTTAACCCTCTAGGGGGGTGGGACCAACCACCAACCCTTGCCATTCCCAAATGGAACAGGGGGTCGAGTAATACCTGTTTTGAAAGAGCGTTCAATTTTTTTTCCAACGACATCAAATGAAAGAGAATTGAACGCTCTCTTGAAAAAGGTATCACTCGACCCCTTGTTTCATTTGAAATAGTAAGGGTTGGTCCCACCCCGCCTAGAGGGTTAAAGTTGAAGTGCCAAAAATGGGTGCAGAAAACTTCCCCCTTTGAAAATCGCATTACGTGTACGAGCGATTTTTCAAAAAATAAACGTAGCATCAGATATTCCTATATCCTTCCTATATATAGCCTGTTTCGTTTTAAATGATACACCCTGTATACTATCTTAGCACTTTTTTCAATAGGTTTGGATAAAGGTCCTTCACTGCAACTAATGAACTGATATCGAATGTGAAATATCGAAAAAACCATATCGATATATTTGCGTTATATATCGATAGTTGCAAAACATCAATATTTCTTCTGTCATTTGTGCCACCTAACCTGTAACCAGCTGATTTTGACATTTCGGGGTTGGTGGGAAATTGCAAAAAGTGTGGATTTGTTTATCTTCTTAAACCAATTTGCTTATTTTTATAAAATAATTATTTATTCTGAAAGGTAGCGGGTTTGAAATTTGTAATAAAATATTCTAGTTTAGTTGGGGCCTTTAGATATTTATGAAGATTTTGTCCCTATTGAAGAAATTCAATTGAAAAATGGCTGGGAACTTTTGGCAAAGTTCACACAAGTAAGTTTTCTTTTTATTTTATCCATTTAGTTTATTGGAAAAACATATTATTCAATTGATAGTCCTCTTCAAATTCTATATTTTTCAATATTTTTCATTCTGGCAATTTTTCCTTCTCAGAGGAAGTAGATATCAGGTTAACAAATTATATTATTAGGTCTGTTCTCACAGAAATCAAAAACCTATCAGAGTGAATTTTATTCGAGGGGTATTTTACTCATGCAGTAGGTGTACAAATTGCAGTCCATACATTCTCATGTAGTCAATGGAATAAATGAGCCCATGCAGTCATAATATAGTCGCATGCAGTCATAATACAGTCTCTTGCAATCATAATTATAATTCCGTGCAGTGACATGCATTCCATATACATTCGCAAAAATCGTAAGCAGTCTCTGCGAGTGGAGCCTGCAATCTTGTTGGATATTGCTCAAAAGTCAAAGCAAACAACTATCACCTTTGATGCAATCAATGCAGTCAAATACAGTAGGTGACAAAATTTAGTGGGTTAAACACCCCTCGATTTTGTTGGTTGAAAACAGTCAAAAAACTGGTAGTTGGTGATTTGCACCAATCGAAAATGCTCTGACTGGTTTGTGATTTCTGTGAGAAACTGTTCCATTATCATATTCTATGGTGCTGTAGGTAAGTAACTACATAGAAGATTTCAACATTTTTCATTAAATCTATGTTTAAGGCACCAAAATTGATTTTTATACCAATAATTGAGGAGTTTTTAGTTTCTGTGACAAGATTCTAAACTTACTTTGCCAACCAGTGACCTTTTTAGGAGGCAGCAAACTTTTTCCAGATAAATTGGCTCTTTTTCTAATACATCAACAACTTCTCCAACTTGGCTTTTTTCCTTTAAGCAGCATCACTTATTTAGATCTTTGGATAGTATAATTCTGAATACAATTTGAAAGTTATCTTTTCCAGCTCCTGCTCAGTTGGCATCTGTTATTTGGAGTGCACCATTTATGATAAATATTGTATTGTTATTTGCATTTTTTCTTGTATATTATGAGCTACTTTATTGCATTCAAAATCGATTGGTCGAGGGGTCATTCCCAATGAGATATCCCATGTACAACCTGCAGGAAATATCCAAAACTTTTACTGGAAATCTTGGGAGGTTTGGGGAAATCTGGCAAGAATTCAGGGTTGGCAAAAACCTGGATTTTTGAATATTTCTATTGGGTTTTTGTGATAGTTATTGTGTTTTTGTGATAGTTATTGTGTTTTTGTGTTTACTCAACTTGACAACATTGTTTAGGTATTTTTTAGTTCATGAACACAAATTCTTTTTCTAGTTATGAAACTATGTTACCTACTAGTAGTACCTAGTTATCTTGAGGAAAGTTCCTTTTGATTTTTACTTCTATAGGTATCTAAAAATAATTCTTTGATTAATATTATTATTATTATTTGACTATTTTTCTTAAGGATTTTTATATTGTTCAATATAGATAAGAAAAATATGGAATAATCCGAGATTTATTATTATTAATCCTAACTTTAGTTTTCTTTAAATCTATTTTCAGATTTTGTGATTTGCTTCTATTATGTATTTCCAGATATCTCAGATCCAGAACAATGTTATACGTATTTTAAATGCACAAGACTTGGGACAAGATTTTGGAGATTATAAAAATGAAATTTTCAAGAAGAAGTTTCAGATTCTCTTATTTATAGCTGTATTGATTTTGTCAAATATAGAACTAAAATACAGCTCAGATGATCAACTATGATTGCTCATATTTTTTCTGAGCCTCAGATCCAGGAACAGATTTGAGAAGCTTCATTGGCTCATAAATCTTGAAACCAAGCGTTGAATTTTTCAGATCCAGAGCAAGAATGTTGGTGTAGTTGAGTGGTTTTTTTTGTCTTTACTACTCTCATTTTTCATTCCCGTTGTTGTGTATTTGAGACCAATAAATTATGAACATTGAAGAGCCCAGAATAGGAAAATTACTTTAATAATTTAACTTATTGTTTTTACCCTGTTAGATTCCCTATTTATTTATTGCTATTAATCCTAAGTTTAGTTTTTTTTTGAATTTATTTTCAGACTCTGTGATTGGTTATAGTGTGTCAGTTTGAAAACTTCCCACCCCTATTATCTCAGAGTAGAAAAATTTTCAAAAAAATCCCTGAAACACGTCAACTATAATTTGAAAGGGGATGAGCTTTTATGCAAAATTCAGCACCCCTCTTTTAACCCCCCAACCCCCAGAGCCACCCCCTAGAAAATCTTAAATGGGAAGGGGGGTCAAGTGATACATCATATTGGAGAGTTTTTAATTCTATAAATATTGGTGCTAAATTTTAATCCCCAAGTTCAACTGTTTTGGAAATATTGACAGTTGAAAATTGACTTTTTTGCAACTTTGACAGGCTGTAAAACCTAAACGGTTAATTTTAGAGGAAAAACGATTTTACATTCTTATCTTAGATTTTCATAAACTATCATTTGTCACCAACTTCGAATTTAACCGGAGATTTAATTTTTAACCGAAATTTTTGATCATGGATTAAATTCGAAGTTGCTGTCAAATGATAGTTTATAAAAATCTAAGACAAGAATGTAAAATCGGTTTTCCTTTAAAATTAACCGCTTAGGTTTTACAAATTATAGTTGACGTGTTCCAGGGATTTTTTTGAAAATTTTTCTACTTTGAGATAATAGGGGTGGGAAGTTTTCAAATTGACACCCTGTATGTATTTCCAGATATTTTGGATTGAGAGCAGTCATGTGTATTTTAAATTAACAAGATTTTGAAGATTCTAGAAATGATTCAAGAGAAAGTTTTAGATTCTATAGGCTCATCCGAGGGGTTATTCACTAAGGGAAAAATGTGACAAGATTTCGAACTAAGAGCGATTTTAAGGGATTTCGGGTGATTTCAGAGGATTTCGGTAGGATTTCGGAAAGATTTCGAGGGATTATTCACTGTGACAAGATTTCAGATTTAGAGCGATTCTGAGGGATTTCGAAGGATTTCGGGTGATTTCGAAGCATTTCGGGTGATTTCGGAGAATTTCAGGTGATTTCGCAAATATTTTAATATGATTTTAGACTGTTACTTATCTTATAAGTATATTCGAAAGTGTACTAGTATAAACTGAAAAACGGCCGCGTTGACCGATTTATGAATTTTGGGCCAATTGCGAGGGATTTTTGGGTTTGCGGAAAGATTTCTGAGAGATTTCGGAGGGATTTCGGCGGATTTCGGAGTAATTTCGTGGATTTCAGAAGGATTTCGAAAAGATTTCGGGGATTTCGGACGAATTTGTGACACGATTTCGGGGAGTGATTAACCCCTCTGGCTCATCTTATTTACAGCTATTGTGATTCTAACAAATTTAGAGCTAAAATACAGCTCAGATGACAAAAATAGAGTTTTTGAGTTTTTCAACTATCAGATTCTATGATTCACTAATATTTTTTTGAGTCTCAGATTTAGAGAATGATTTGAGAAAAGGCTTCATTGACTTATAACTTTTGCAGCCAAGTTTTGAATTCCCAAAATTCAGAGCATGAATGTTGGTATAGTGGAGTAAATTTTTTCTCTTCACTGCTTTGATTTTTCACTCCAAATGTTGTCTATTTCAGACTATGGCAGGAATGAGAATGAGAAAATTTTTCCAAATAAAATTAAGGCAGTTAATAATTATTTCTGTATGAATGGGGCTTTGACACAAAAAGCCCACTGGGTTTTTGTCAATATCGATGGTGGGTTTTTGTGTCTAAAGACTAAAACCCACTGGGTTTTCAAAATGGGTTTTTGTATATGCCAAGTTGGCATGGCAGGGGGACATTCAGCAAAATTTGAAGGAATCTATGGGAAATATGAGAGATATCTCGGGAAATCTGAAGGAAATCTTACTGCGAGAGATTGTTCGCGCGTTCAAAATTTAATTTTCTATTGATTGAGAATATTCGAGAAGATATCATGTTATCAGGGTTTTTACTGAAATAAAAATATTATACCTAATACTGTAATAAAAAAATGCACATGCAATCCCTGAAAAATTAGGGAGACCTAGCAAAATCTTTGGAAGATTTAAGGATATCTGAAAAAATCTTAGGGGGATCCTGGGTAATCTGAGATATGTAACGGAAATTTGTGGATATCTTTTGCACACTTAAATATGTTGTGACTCTCTCCTCAAGATTAATAAATTGCCTCTACTGTATAACAGCTTAGCAGTAAATGGAAATAAAATCATATTATTTACTGAGGGAGTTGAGGGATTAAAATCGATCTTTAAATCCTCTCACGAAAATTCATTAAAGGGATTCAAAAACACTTGTGGCATATATTTTTACAGTGGTTTTCGAATATTCTGGAACCCCCGACCTCACCCTTCTCTATTGAAGAGTGGTTAGAGTCAGTCTGTTAACCTGGTTTTGTATGGCAAATCTGAGGAGGTAGTCACTTTGGAAATCTTCTGTCATATGGGATCGAGATCCGTGGAGATCGGAGATCAGTGGAAATCGGGGTGGAAATCATGAATATCCGTGGAGATACTTGGATATCCGTTGGAGATATGTAGAAATCCAGTCAAGATACGTGGGAAAAGAGAGTTTTGGACGCATACTTACATGAAAACGAACTTGAAAACCGATTATACAATCTTTGGTACTCCGTATTTAGTTTACGAATATTGTGTCAGTGCATTATACAATCTGATTCGTACACTTTATAGGACAATTTTGTTTACGTTGAACGTATAAACTTGCATTGATATAAATGCCCAGCCCACGCGATAATATCACTCAATAAGAAATTTTCTGGACTAAAAAATATATTTTTGTGGGGGGAAGAGTGAAAACATTAATTTCATGTTCAGATCTGGTTCTTCAGGGGTAAAATAATACTGAGTTAGTTTACGATACAGTCCTTCGACATTAATAATCTATTTTTTGCCATTCTACTATTCTCGCTACTATTATCAGGAAAGAAGTGTTTTTTTTTTCAAAGATCTAATTCCATATAAAATTGAAAAATTACTAATGTAAGTATATGGGAAAATGATCTTCACGGAGGTCCAAGGATATGCCTAGAGATACAAGTATATTCATGGAGATCTATGCCAGGAATAATTCAAAGTTTTATTATTATTGGTTCTTGATTCGTCGGATTGTACTTCTGAGAGCAAGAAAAACCTCAAAAACTTTCCCAAAAAGCTTCGAACATCATACAGTTATAATCTAAGCCAATAGATATTCATATAGTTCAAATTTTCATTGTTATTGGCTCTTGATTCTTCAGATTGTTACAATGCAAGGGGCATTTTCCAGAATCTTGTTATGGTCCTGAGGTCTTCCTGGATGGTGGTTGTATTGATTTATAGGGCTGCACTACAGTATCATCCACAAATGAGGAAAAGTCGATTTTCAGGCACTTTAGCTAACTTTACCTAATAAATAAAAAAATCGTAACCTTCCCAAATAAAACGTTTGGAGGTTTTCTTTCCAACACTACAACTTAATTCTAGCTCACAATGTGGACTATTTTTATGACGGACCTACCCATTCAAAGATTTTTTCATATTTCCTATAGTAATTAATTTTTGTAGTGTAGTATGTAATTATGTTTGAATACATTACACTAGTAGAAAACTCAGTGTCCTCTCCTCATTTGATTGCTTAATTGAACTTGAATGATAGTTTTTCACACTTCTTTAAAAACATCACTATTGCAGTCAACAATGGATATTGGACAAGCAAGACTTAGTCCGAGAACGACAACACGACCTAGCCATTTTGACTGAAGAAGAATACCAAAAAATATTCATATTTTTCTCTAGCGGTAAGTCAATTCTTTGAAATAAATCCACCCAATCAAACAATATTTTTCAGTGATACAAACCTTAGGAGAACAATTAAAGCTCCGTCAGCAAGTCATAGCCACTGCTACGGTTTATTTCAAAAGATTCTACGCAAGAAATTCACTGAAATGCATTGATCCACTCTTACTTGCCCCAACTTGTATATTTTTAGCTTCAAAAGTCGAAGAATTTGGTGTCATTTCAAATTCACGTTTGATTAGTACTTGTCAGACTGTTAGTAAGTAATATTAGTATAAAGACTGCTGTAATGATTTTTATATCTCACAAAAACTATTACTTATGATATATTATATTTGTTTCAGTTAAAAATAAATTTGGCTACGCTTACACACAAGAGTTCCCTTACAGAACCAATCACATTCTAGAGTGTGAATTTTACTTATTAGAAAACTTAGATTGTTGCCTAATAGTCTACCAGCCTTACCGTCCTTTACTGCAACTAGTCCAAGACATCGGACACGAAGAACAACTTTTAACGCTAGCATGGCGAATAGTAAACGACTCGCTTCGAACGGACGTGTGTCTTTTGTATCCACCCTACCAAATAGCCATAGGATGTTTAGGCATCGCCTGCGTAATTTTGCAAAAAGACCAGAAATCCTGGTTCGCCGAGCTCAATGTCGATCTGGAAAAAATCCAAGAAATCGCCCGGTACGTTATGAACTTGTTCGAATTGTGGAAGACTTACGATGAGAAAAAGGAAATTCAGGCGCTGTTGGGTAAAATGCCTAAACCGAAACCGGCACCTCAAAGATAGACGAATGCAAATGGAGGTTGTAGAAGATTTTATCAAAAATAGTAGTTAGGATTTATTAATACAGGGTGTATATACGTATACAATTTTCATATGCATTTTTCCATTTTTGTATAGGGGCTGTTACGACTCACTGAGTTTTTTATTATTAAAATTTTCATCTCTAAGTAATTTAGCTGTAAGAGTGAACATGGTCCCTTTCGATTCCACTCCAATGCTGATTTTATTATGTTTTTTTGTGAAAAAGTATATTTGGAATGTTAACTTATACTGGATCTTATTGTGAACCAAACTTTTTGACCTTTGGTTGGAGACTCAAGCCCAAAAATTTGCTCTTAATTTATAGACTCTAGATAACCGTAGCATTTTGCTAACATTATTTCAAGATAACTCTCAGGTAGGGCTACTGGAGCCTGTAAAACCAAAACCAGATTTGTATATATCTCGTAACTTATTACATGACTAATAAAAGTATTATCGATAAAAACGCTTATTGTATCAAATAGTTGGAGGGTAAAAAATTGTCTTTTAAAATCAATAATAATTGTAATTTGTTTTAAACAATTGTGATTTTATTCTGCCCGAATATAGACATGAAATTATTGAAAAACTATTGTCTCATTTTTGCTCCCTAAAGCCCTTTTCATCCCTTAAAAAATCAATAAATTTAACAAAAATGTCTATTTTTGATTGTCCAAATTAAAATTTAAAGCATCGCCATCCAGCATCAGCATCTAGCTCTATTGATTTAGCTGGTACACATGCGCCCTAATATCGTCCAGCTAAGTTTTTGTGTTGGTTTTGAAGCATAGAACAGGAAAAATCGCTTTGGCCGACTACTATTTCAGATGATAGTAGTCTCGAGAGCTAAGAGGCGGCCAGCATCCCTTATTTTCGCAGATAAAATGTTTTTAGTTTAGTTGAATAAATGATGATAGTTTTGTGGTTGCTGTACGTTGCTTGTTATTATGATTTTCCTTCTTTATTAGGTAAGTTTTACAAACCTAATTAAAAAAAAAAAATTACTTTATTTTTTATTTTAGGAGACCCTATTGTTAAAAACACAACCCTTAAAACACCTTTAGACGAAGATTATTATTTAAGCTACGACTATGAAATCAGCAGCAATTCTAGTTCGAAAGACATCAAACCAGATTCCCTGATACTACCAAATCCAGAAAACATGGAACTCAATTCTCCAGCTTCTGCTGTGGATGTTTTACCGGACATTGAGCTTCCCGACGACTCATTGGCCGATCCAGATTTGAAAGATCATAATTGCATCGACAATATTATGTACGTGTATTATGGAGGCAATGGGAAAAATACGAAAAGTTACGGAACTGGGATTATAATTATCGGATCGGTAATGAGTTGCGCCGCTCAATTATTGACTCTGTTTTGCGTGCTGCTCAAAAAATACTATAAAGGCAGGAAGATTAGCATGATGCTGATCGTTGTTCATATTTATTTGACTATGTTTTTGTCGAATTTGATTTTTATGTTAGGAGTTTATGTGAGTATAAATTATTCTAGTATTTACTTATTTTAACTTTTTTAATGTGTTTTAGTCAACCAAAAACTCTGAAAACTGTTTACTTATTGCCATTTTAATTAACATATTCCATCATCATACAGCTATATGGATATTTTTGTACTGTTTGTATATTTATAAGAAATTTTGTCGCACCTGGGTGTCAGTTATCTTCAAGAATATTAATTGGTACACTTTGATTACGCATTTATTGCCACCGCTGATTACTATAGTAAGTTATAAGTACTATTAATCAAAATACATATATAATCCAACATACAATTTTATTCCAGACAACGTACTACGCAATCCCGAAAAGTTTCGAAACCAAAAAGTTCTGTTTCAAATCGATGCACAGAGGCATGATCCTAAACTTCATGATCCCAATTTGCGTACTTTTAATCCTGACCACTATCTACGCTATAAGCGCAATGATAAAAATCGAAAATTTAGAAGTGGCCAAGCTGGATTATCATTACCAGAGCGAATCTTTGCAGGCGTTAAACACCCAGCAAACACAAGATTTGGAGAGTTTAAAGGACAAAAAAGACGAAAGTATTAGTTACGTGGACGAAGAATTGCAAAGCCTCAAAGCGACGAGGAATTGTTTGAAGTCTTTGTGCGTGATGCAATTGATGTTTGTGCTGAATTGGTTCATTACGCCTGTGGCTTTGGATGCTAGTCACGATGCTACTGAGTTACCGTATTTGCAAAGTACTACTTCAATGTTATTGGTAAGAATTTCATGTATCTGGACCTTTTTACTACATACTTGGATTGTAACAATTTCTTTGGAAAACAGCCTTTACAAAACAAGTATTTTATAAATCAGTATTCAGCTCTGTAAAATGTCTCCTGTTAAAAATTTGGTTTAATGAATATGGAGGCAAGTCCGTTCCTGACTTCCCAGACTATGTGAAACATCTACTGTAGGATGATTTTATGAGTCTTTATGGCCAACATTAAATATCAAAACTTCATTAAATTATACATATCGGTTCAAAAGTTAGAGCCAAAAATGTGGATCGCCAAGTACTCTTTTGGGGCTCTGTATTTCCGTTAAGGGGCACTTTAGGAATTTTTTTCTATAAAAAAGTAGAGTTATTTTTACCCCTCCTATACGCTCCCGAGAGTATGCCATATACTTACTAGACACCCTGTATAGTTTTGGCCAGAGATAAATCTGTTCTCTTGGGTTTTTTTTTTTAAATTCATAAGCTCCAAGCACCAAAGCAGTAATATTCCAGTGAACACATCAGCGTCATCAGCTACATAAAGTTAAGGTAGAAATTTACGTAACTACATACTTCACCCAATAATATGATAATAAAGTTTGTTTCAAGTCACAATAAGGTAATATTTAAATGTAACTCATAAATGTCATGCTCAGCATATAAACCATATTTTCATCATCTGACATTGCCTCACAAAATCTCACATTACTCGGTTAATCCTCCACAAATTCTGATGCATATTTATATATTCTTAATCAGAATTAAATGCTCTTTAAAATAAAAATTGAATTATTTATCTCAAATAGTTTTTGAGATATTGAGCCTCAAAGTTGAACTTTGTCTTAAATTTTGGAAAACCATCAATACCGATTATCTCGAAAAGGAAGCCCTAGGGCTCGGTGCCTCATATAACCTTTTTTGAAACCCCAATCAAAATTTACTATTGGACAAAATTTCGTGCCGATAGGTTTTCTGGTTTTTTGAAAATATGGTCCTTCGAAATATTTGAGAATTAAATTTCCTTGTATACCTACATACCTAAAAAATGCAGAAGTTCTTAACAAATTTTCGAAAATAACTTGCTAACCTGAGAAATTGACGTACTTGCTTAACGTAACAAGGATGAGGCATATCCAAAACCGCTTGGATTCTCCTTCTACCTGGCTTCACCCCCTTCTGCACTAATTTCTCTTCCAAGATATTCTATGGTTGTTGCCCTATACGCACTTACTGATTTTCAAGGTAAGGTTATTTGTACGAAGTTGTAAGCGTTCTAGTCCCTCGACGACCGTCGATGAAGGAATTATAATTTCATCATTATATGGGAAGGCAAATTCATTTCTTAATGGCGCCAGTACCTTATTTATCGATTATTGAAAAACAGAAGGAGCATTTGCTAGCCTAAAAGGCATCCGTAAAAATTCGTAATGACCATCGGGGGTTACGAATGCGGTCTTTTCAATAGAGTTAGCGGCCATGGAAACTTGATAAGACCTCGACGCTAAATCTAAGCTTGTATAATACTTAAATCCGCCCAATTTGTCAATCTGGTCCTCAATATGTGGCAGTACGCCACGGTTTTTGATAGTCACTGCATTGAGATGTCTAAAATTCACACACATTCTATAGTCTCCATCCTTTTTCTTAACTAGAGTAATAGGGCTTGGGTACGGAGAACTAGATTCGCGGATTATTTCATCATCCAAAAGTTCTTGGATCATATTTCGGAGGATACTATTTTCCACTTCGGGCATGCGATACGGATAACGTACAACCGGAGTGTCCACTATACCCCAAATCAATTATACCCGATAATGGTACCAAAAAACCTATAAGCGATGCTATAAGTATATTCAAACTCTTAGTCAGCAGCGTCACAATAGAATAAACAACTACCAAAATAGATGTTATTTTGTAATTCTTATACACTACAAGACTAAACCAAGAATAGACTTCAAGCTTCTAAAGGTTCTGACTTCTCTACAGAAGATTACCAAAATTTCCCATTTCAAACTCAGAGTTTTACCATATTAACAAACAACAATGACTTATTTTCATTTCTATATCATCATTATTGTTTTTAGAATTGGTTTGTGTTCTACAAAAGAAAAACCTTGCTGCCACTGATTGACTACGCTGTAGAAGAGTGCTCGGAGCAGGAAAAACTAGACGACGACTTGCCGTCGTCTTCTGCAACCGAAGTTGTCAGTATCACTTCTTCTGATAGTATTCCTTTGCTTAAATCCGACGACAGTGCAACCGAACTCAAAGAGTTTTGTTGCAATTACGATTTGAAAGATTGTGCCAATGACTATAATAATATTTGTACTATTAGTACTTAATTTGGAACGTTTTGACTTTCAACTACTCACTGAATTGTGATTGAAGTCTTTTTATCAAAGAAACAAAGACATAAAATTCAAGATTTTGCTTTCAATGTAAAATATGTTTGGTCTAGACAAATCTCAAAAAACAGTAATTTCACAAATTTTACTCATTCTCGTTAGTCAAAATAATGGTAAACTAATACATATAACTCATATGATAAACTCTTATTACATCTATGGTTGTGTTTAATAATTAATAATAATAATTAACAATAATAATCTTAATCTATTTAAATGTTACCCTTTAAAAATCGATTTGTATTTTAATCAAACATTTTATCAAATGTGTGTTGTAAATAAAAGAAGATCTTTATATTTTTCTTGTTAAAATGAAAAAGAAAAACGTATTTATATTGTAAACTTAATCGCAATAATAAATTTTAGATTTTATAATAGTTGTTGAAATTATATAATAGAGTGTAAAATTCAATTTATTTACTTGTTTTGAAAAGTTGTCTTCCAAAATCTGTAGCCACAGCAGCAAATACCTGCATTATAATTTAACTTATTATTTGAGTGAAAATAATAACTGTTTCTAACCCAAATACCTACCTAAGCCGCATTTTCGCACAAATTTATAAGAAACTATTTTGGATGTAAATACTGTAATATTACTATTAAGACATCGGCCTACAACAGTATTATGTATTAGAAAATAAGGATGAAACTGCATTGTTCACTTGAGGGTGGAATTTTACAGGGCAAAGACATTTTATTACTGTATTCAATCCCTTATACATTGTAATGACCTATTTTAATGTTGAATAAAAACAAATAAGAAATTCGTCTCAATAATAAATAAATAAATAAATGTTTATTTGAGTTTTTTGTTTCTTGTCTTTATCAAAATTGCATTTTCAAGTTTGCGCCTTAAGGATTGAGTTTTTGGAGCGCCATCTAGTAGGTAAACCTAAACAATTTGATTTCGATCTTTTGGATCCTAAAAATAACAAGTCACAGTAATCTCAAATCCTAAGTGTTTCGACTGCAGTGTTTTGTCAGTCGGTGACCTTTGCAGGAATGTTTTGTTATCTTTAGGTAGGAATGCATTGTACTTATATTATTTATTGATCATTTGGCTGAGAAAATTGAGTTTGTAGCCAAAAGTATATAGCTAGGTAGCCAATTTGTATTAACTTTGTACCTACTAAATTTCACTCGGAATATTCTGAGAGTCCTACACATTATAATTTGTTTTCCACCTATTAGGTATAATAGAATTGGCAAAATCTTACGTGCCTGAGATTAGAGATTACAATTAGGTATAGGGAGACATGACATATTCGCACCAAAAAACATTTTTACTTTTACTGGAACTGGTTTATTGCAGTGCATGGCCAGTAAACACATAACTACATAGAGGGTTGCAAGTACGGTAATTGCAAAAGGTGTAGTGAAAAAAACAATTCGCTTTGTCACATGCTCTTTCTGTAGGTAATACAAATTGTAATGCTCCAGTCCTAGGAAATTCATGTTCAGCAAATAATCAGGAGGATCAGTAGATAGCTACTCCAGTTTACAGTGCGTGTAATTATGCATCATCAGGCCAAGTTTTACTCGCTGAAAGTAGTGATTTGGTTTGTAGGGCTCTACTCGATAACGGTTCCATATTCCATGTCAAACTTCATTACCAATCACTTTGCTAAGAAACTAAAAACTCCCCAACATAACATAAACTTTGCAGTAAGAGGTATAGGTAATTGTAATTCAGAGTCACATTTGAAACATTCCTGCATCCTTTTGATTCAAAATTCACTGTACCACTTCATTGTTCAATAATTCCAGAAATCACTGATAAAATTCCAATGGCATACTTATATGAACCCAGATTCTTTCAATATTCCCGATTATGTTCAACTTGCAAATCCAGATAATTCTTTAAACCATGTAAAATAGATCTTTTAATAAGCGCGGACACGTCTTTTGGAGGTTAATATCTTCCGAATCTGTTCATTTAGGAAAAAACATGCCTTCTATCCAGAACACCAAGCTTTGGATAGATCATATCAGGTCCTGTTAATCAACAAAGTTCAAGGTATTGCCCAAAGTCACCTGATGCTACACTTCACAAACACATTAGATAGGTACTCAAAGTCAGTTGGTCAAGTTCTGGGAAATGGAAAAGATCGTCACAGCTTGCAGAGAAACATTTCTCATATACATTGAATCAAAATTCGGACGGTCGTTTTGTGGTTTCATCAATACCACTAAAAAACCTTGAGAGTTTTTACACTGTTATTACACAGATCGAAAGCGTTGTACAGTGGCGGTCCATACATGATTATCTGGAGTGGAAGTTTGAAATTTTGAGGACTTTTTCCTAATGATTCAATGTAAAAAATACTAAAAACTGTAAAAACCCAAAGCGATCGAGTTATTATTAAACGATTTTTTGAAAATAATGATGTTTTGCAAAGTAAGACTTCACAAATAATTTTTTCACTCAAAAACTAAATTGAGTGGAAAGTTGAAATTTTGGGAACTTTTTCCTAATGATTCAATGTAAAAAATACTAAAAACTCAAAGCGATTGAGTTATTATTGATGGAGTTACGTTTTTTTGAAAATAATATGATGTTTTGTAAAGTAAGACTTCACAAACAATTTTTTCACTCAAAAACTAAAATGATTGGAAAGTTGAAATTTTGGGAACTTTTTCCTAATGATTCAATGTAAAAAATACTAAAAACTCAAAGCGATTGAGTTATTATTGATGGAGTTACGTTTTTTTGAAAATAATGATGTTTTTTAAAGAAAGACTTCACAAACAATTTCTTCACTCAAAAACTAAAATGATTGGAAAGTTGAAATTTTGGGGACTTTTTCCTATTGATTCAATGTAAAAAATACTAAAAACTCAAAGCGATTGAGTTATTATTAATGGAGTTACGATTTTTTGGAAATAATGATGTTTTGTAAAGTAAGACTTTACAAACAATTTTTTCACTCGAAAACTAAAGCGAGTAGAAAGTTGAAATTTTGAGGACTTTTTCCTAATGATTCAATGTAAAAAATACTAAAAATTCAAAGCGATTGAGATTATTAATGGAGTTACGATAGTTACGAGTAGGTATGTCGGTACTGGCAAACTTTGGTACTGGCGAGCCTATTGATTTATACAATGCCTTTAAAAATGCTTTATTTTGTAGAACTTGTCTCTTTTTCAAATTTTCTTGTAATTAATAAATGTATCAAAAAAAAATCTTTGTCTTGGAGGGGTAATTACCCCTTCTACCCCCCCTTTAAACCGCCCTTGGCGTTATTGTACCTATCCACTTTACAGTAATTTATCGTCTAGTTATAAGTTATCATTTACTTTGATTTATGTTTCATTCAGGTATCAAGATTCTAATAATTCAATAAGACCCAGAGTTTCCTCTTTTTTTAGTTGTTTATTGATTATTGTGCATGCTTTGTGTTTCACACTTTTTAGAATTAGTTTCAAAGTAACATTTGGCCATGTTGAGCATTAAATTCATTTAGAATGAATATTCAATGTTCATACGTCGTCATTATACAGTCCGCACTGCGTTTTCCTGCAAGACTGTCATGTCTTTGTCCAAAACGAGGTTCGTTGCAAGTTTTGATGAAGACCTCTGAACCAGTCTTTACACCTACCCCCTTGGAAATTTTTTGAATAAACGAATTTATTATTATTATTGTAGTACTTTTGATATCATCATTTTGTATATAGTTTTGTTTAGGTACCTGTATACTTTGAAGACTCAGTAGATCAAAATCAATCAGATCGACTTGGAATTAAACTAATCAGCATCGCGAATCGCGATAGCTACAATCCTATTTAATTTTTTTTTGATTTGAGAATGAGCATTTTGCCAAAAATCCACACAGTAAAAATAGATATCCTTTGTACAAGGACGCACGTACTATTACGTATTACTTATCGAAATGCAACACAACGCATTTTATCTTTTATTTAAATTTACATTATCGAAAGCGTGTAAACAGCACCCCACGAACTCGAATAGAAAAATAATAATTAAAAATTCAAAAATGCCGTCAAATTGGTAATTAATTAGTAATTATGAGTGTTTGTTTAATAAATGTGGAAATATACACGCTAAATTTTATCACATTCAGCTATAGGTTGGTTTTTAATGGAATAATGATTTTATTATTGTTTATAGAATGTGAACAAAACATAGTGGGAAATTATTTGTTTAAATGGAAAACATTGATGGAATCTTCAACATATTACCAGGTTAATGTCAAATAATGACATAAAAATATGGAATTTTTTTTAAAATTAAAATAGAAATCATGGGTAAGTTTCAATTAGAAGTAAATAAAGTAAAATTAATTTTGCTTAGCAGTTGTTTGTTTTTCATTGTTTCAAACAAAGGCATCTAATTTTGGATCCAGGATTTTTATTTTTAAAATTATATTCGTTTAGACTTTGCTTTTATCATTTAAAAAACATGTTTGAAGGTAGGAAAATTGATTGTTTTAGTTGTGCCAATGAAGTAGTAACATGACCAATCCTATTTCCAAATTCCCAGTTTCCATTAAAACGAGCCAAAATCCATTCATTTGTAAGTGTAGCCATACACTATAAGATACAGAGTGTTTTGTGAGTGAGTAGATAAAGTTTATAGTTTATTAGAATTGAGCTAATTTCAATAAAAGGAGATAGGTAAAAAACTTCTAGTTTGCACAAAATTGCTTTAACATAAATTAGCTTTCACAGATTTTGTACTTACAAAGAAAACAACCTGTGTATTTTCTAAATTATCATTTACTATTTTATCAATTTGGGTACCAATTAATTTAAATTTAAATTGATAACATTAAACGCTTGTATGTAGACATAATTTTTCTGCCTTCTAATCATCAGTTTATTTTAAACCATTAAAACACAATCATGCTCCAATTAAGGACAATAATGATTCTTGTTGTAGCTTCACAAGTAATCGGCGAAGAGTACAATGACACTCCAATCATCGGAGTACTATCACAAGAAACCTACATTATTTCTTCGTATTTCCCCAATGCAACGTACGACAGTTACATTGCGGCATCGTACGTGAAATATTTGGAAAGTGCCGGCGCTCGAGTGGTACCCATTTGGATCGGACAAAACGAGGATTATTACAGGAGAGTGGTCCAATATACCAACGGTTTGTTTTTCCCAGGAGGTGGTACTTATTTTAACGAAACCGGCGGTTATGGAGAGGCTGCGACGCAACTTTATAAAATCGCTTTGGAGTATAACAATAAAGGAGTAAGAATTATTTTTTTAATTTTTCTCATTTTGCCATAATTTGATACCTACTATTTTAAGAAGACTACATCACATCAATCGAGACAGATATATGCTTTTTTTTCGAACACTATTTGAGCAAAACTATTCAAATAGGATCGAGGAACTATATAAAAGTCGGTTGGTATATTTGGACAATGAAATTGAACGTTAAACAAGTCGATAATCAGGCAGGAAATATTTCGACAGACCAATTTCGAGTTCTAAGAATTCTACTGATTTCATCAAGAATTCGAATTTGTCTAATTGTAGTTTTAGATTAAATTATTCTAATCTTTCTAAGATTTGCAATATGTTCTTGAGGAGAAGTGTCCTAGACATATATTGTTTTGTAGTCCTATAAATACGTTATTCATTACTTTTTGAAATGTTGCGGGAGCATTTTTTATTCCGAAGGGCATACGAGGTCATAATATCCATTTTCTATATTAAAAACTGTTTTGCTTATCGAGTTTGGATGCATTTCAACTTGGTGAAATCCAGAAGCTAATTTTCAATAGGAACGATTTGAATTTGGATCTAATAGGTATTTTTATGTAGGTTTATTATCCAGTTTGGGGTACATGTTTGGGCATGCAAGTTTTAATGTACGCAGCCCTAAGCGGTATCAAAGACATCCGAGTCGATTGTAATTTGAGAAATGTCGCCGTACCATTGGATTTTGTAGAAGGTAAATCCATCAATCATCAATTACCAATAAACTTAAATAATTCCTTTTAGACTACAAAAAAAGCAGAATGTTCCGCAACGCTCCACAGGACATAATCGATATCCTCAAACAACAAAACACCACTTACAACCTCCACAGATATTGCCTGACCAAATCAGTATTGAAAGAAAACGATCTCTTAGACGAATGGAAAATTTTAACGACCAACAAAGACATCAACGGGTTCGAATTCATAAGCGCAATGGAACACAAAGACTTTCCGTTCTACGGAATTCAATTCCACCCGGAAAAAAATCAGTTCGAATTCAAAAGAAATAAGGGCTTCCCGCACACGTTCAACAGTATCAAAGTTGCACAGTATTTTGCGAATTTCTTCGTCAACGAATGCAGGAAGAATGGTAATTCGTTTTCAAATGAAGTTGTCGAAGCTGATTCGTTGATTTACAATTTCAATCCGAAATATACGGGATTGAAGAGCGGGTATTATGAGCAGTTGTACGTGTTTTTGAAGGAGGACTTTGAGAGGCATCAAATGAATTAAGACTGGATTTTACGTGTGTATTTGTTTTAGTATTTATTTTGTTTTATTTTGAGTATATTGAATGATTTATAGAATAAAAATTAGCCCTGCGATATCAGACTGAGTTTTAATTTAATGGCATGTTGTTTCACAGCAGTTTATTCCCTAATCCTAGTTTTAAACTGCCTTGGTGGTAGGTTTCTTACTGCATTAGGGACTTTGTTGAAAAATTTAATGGCCAGGTACCTAGGGCCGTCCTGACACCTCTCTAGTCTACAATACCCCGTCTCTAGGTCATTTTGATGTCGTGTATCATATGAATCAACACTAGTTTGTTACATAATGGTATTATTTTTCTTGAGATAAAGTAAGCACTCCAGGATATAGACAGATGGCAATGTCATTATACGAAGCTGATGGAAAGCAACCCTGCAGTCATCCCTGTAACCCAAACCCTGCATTATTCTTATGCAAAGACTCTCTTAGATTGGGCTGCATGCCCCCATGCGAGAATGGAATAGGTCAATGTGGAATGAAACAGGCTAAAGTAGACTGTTCTTAGAGTATCTAGGGATACAGAATTCGAGAGGCTGCGAAGCATATATAGATATTTTGCTAAGAAGAAATAAACTAAAGATTTTATTAATAACAAAACATTCTACCCTACCATCAGGGATGTTCCAAGAGAATTTGTAAATGTGCACTTGACAGTATAAAAAGTGGGCATATCTGACACAAAATGTGCATCTCCCTTGTTTTGCTTTTCAATGTTGCCGGTTGCCAATATGTATGTTTATTCTTACAACGTTGCCAGTTCCGATTGCCATTTGCCAATATTTTGTATTTTCATTGTCGAGTAGGCTGGACTGGGCTGGGGCCGGCTGAGCAGTGGCGTACCAAGGATGATACACACCTACAGGATTGCTTATCGGCCTCGTTTTTGGTGGTGATCGTCGCTATATTGGTGTGTCATCATTTCCGACGTCATAATTAAGTCGTCAGCTGTTTAAACAACCTACGTCAAGGCGAGAAATAACATGCTGCTTACGTCACAACTGGTGATTTAGCTTGGGGTGGTGAGGGGGGATTTGTTCCACACAGGCCTTATGAGGATAGGCCATCCTGTAGTATTAGTATGTATCATCCTATCCTTGGTGGCGTACAGGTTAGTACAGTGGACTGAGTGTAGAGTATGGGAGTATGTATAGAGTACAGTGTAGTTACACTCAGTACAAATATACTGAAATGAAACCCCAAATTCAGAATATTTTGAGTTCTATTTATTGACTGAAAAATTGTGGCAGATTTATTTTAGAAATCAAAATGTGCATATCTAGAGATTGGGGTGCATACTGTGCATATAAATTGAAAGTGTGCATCAATATGCACAATTGTGCAGTTTGGAACATCCCTGCCTACCATGAAGATTACAGCAACATTCCTTTATCGATAACCTCACTTTGTTGACGTTACTAACATCCGACAGATATGGTTGTGACTATTGATACTACTAGAGCAGGCGTGGCTGAACGAACACTTATCCTAACACTCCTCTTCGATTTACAAATTTAACTTAAAATTGTACATCGCAAAATATCAGCTCTCTATGTTTACAAAAACGAACTTACAACACTAGAAAACTAATATTTAAAGAATTTAACATTTTTCAATTTTAATTAAAGAACAAATATTATTGAATTTTTCCTTACACGAGGGTTTTGTCAAAATGTCAGCAATATTATTTTCACAGTACATACATACTGCACATCTAAGACTTTCTTTAACAACAAATCTTTGATAAAATGTTCTTTAATGTCAATATGTTTTCCGCGTCTCGAATTTTTATAACTCTTTGCCATCGAAATCGCACTAACATTGTCCATTTTTAGCGTTATATTTTCAATTTTGCAAAATTCCGAAATTATCCCTTTCAAGTTCACTACTTCTTGTGCTGAAGCCGCCCCTGCCACGTATTCTGCCTCTGCGGTAGACAGCGCCACACATGTTTGCTTCTTAGAAAACCAGCTGATTGGATTCCCAGCATACAGTACTATATAGAGCCACTTGTACTCTTTCTGTCGATCTTGTCTCCAGCCCAATCTGAGTCGGAATATGCTACTAAGTTTTCTGCACCCCTCGTATACATCAATCCAGTATCAACAGTATTTTTCAAATACCTCAGGATTCTTTTGCCTGCAGTCCACAACACTTGAGTTGGTTTGTCCAAATATCGACTAAGATAGGACACCGCATACAAAATATCCGGTCTGGAAGTGCATGCCAAGTACATCAGCGATCCAACTAACTTTCTGTATGGGACATCAATGATTTCTTATGATTTTTCAACTTGAAAACCTGTTATCATAGGTGTTGACACTCCTTCACAGTCATCTACAAAAACAATTAATAAGCCACACATCTTTCTTTTTATAAAGACAGAAATCATACTGAGATCTTTCAAAGTCTAAATCTTTCATTATCTCATTAAATTGGTTATTCCAACACTTTGGACTCTCCTTCGGCCATACAGAGCTCTGTTGAGCTTGAAAACTTTGTTTTTGTCTTCATTTACGCCGTCTGGTATTTTTATGTATAGGTACTTCAGATTCAAGTTTTCCATTCAGAAAAGCACTTGGAATGTCAAGTTGACGTACATTCCAATTCTGTTGTAGAGCATGTACTAGAAACATAGACTAGAAATGCTCTAATCGTTGACAATCTGGCAACTGGTGCATACATAGGTGTAAAATCATTCACCTCCTGAATCTGGAAGCCCTTGGCTACTAATCGAGCCTTCTTTGTACCATCTTCCTTTGTTCGGAAGACCCATCTTGTATCAATTGCATATTTATTTTCAGGAAGTTTAGACAAAGTCTAAGTTTGTAGATTGCTAACAGACTTCAATTCATGGTTGATGGCATCTTGCCATTTAGAAATTTTCTGAGCTTCTGAAAATGTTTGAGGATCCTCCTGTGATTCTGTAACATCCAAATATGTAGCATATATCTCATAATTTTGAAGATACTGAGGTTTATGTACCTCTCTACCAGTTCTTGTTAGAACAGGCTCTGCATCAGCTATCTCCTCCTCAATTTCTATTTTTACATCTTCAAAGTCACTGCTGTCTTCATTTTGAACAGAACCAAACTGAGAACTTTCATCAAAACTATTTTCTTCATTTTGTTCTTCATTCTCTTTAATTTCTACTGGCCATACAATTGTTTTGTCTTCTTTTATCTCTGTATTTTTTTCTTTGGTATTTTTCTCTATCTCTTTTCCTTCAAGAAACACAACATCTCTACTAAAAATAATTTTCTTAGTATTTGGATTAATCAGTCTGTATCCTTTTTTATTTTCTTCATAACCCATAAAAAGCAACTTCTGTGATTTAGGATCCCATTTCTTCCTCAACTCATCTGGCACATGTGCCATAGCTTCACAACCAAAAATTTTCAGCATTGATAAGTTGGGTTTTTCCTTATTCCAGACTTTATAGGGAGTTTTCCCAAGTACTGCTTTTGTTGGTGATCTATTTATGAGATAGACTGCAGTGTTAACTGCTTCGCCCCAATATTCTTTCGACAAACCAGCATCAGACAACATACTACGAGCTCTCTCACAAATTGTCCTATTCGCCCTCTCACTAACTCCATTTTGTTGCGAAGTGTATCGAACAGTTGTCTGGTGTATAATACCAGAGTCATCAAGTACCTTCTTGAATTTCTTATTCACATATTCAGTACCATTGTCAGTTCTGAGCATTTTTATTTTAGAGTCAGTCTGATTCTCAACAAGTTGCTTAAATTGTTGAAAAACTTCAACTACTTGACTTTTTTCTGATAGAAAATAAGTAAATATAATTCTTGAAAAATGCTCCAGACTTGTCAAAAATGACCTTGTGCCCTTTTCGCACAATTTTACTGATCGACAACAAATTTACTGCTGCTTATTCAGGAGCATACATAACCTCATTTGCAGGAATCACCTTATCTTGACCATTTATTTTCACACTGATGTCCACTGTCCCTTTCGATACAATGTACCGTTTATGTCACTATTACTTGCAGTCTTAATTTTGCCACTGTTTTTGGTAGAATTCATTAACCAGTCATTATTTTTAGTCAAATGGACAGAGGCACAAGAGTCTAAGAACCATGCATCATTGTTTACTTGCTGTGAAGATGAACATCCTAGAAAAGCTGTGTTGTTACTTTTCTTTCTTTCACCCTGATTACCTTGTGAGTTGCCTGCTCTACATTGAGACTTATAGTGACCCATTTTGCCACATCCGAAGCACTTCACTTTGTTTCTTGTGAACTTTTTACCTGAACCTCTTTCTGCGTACATTGCTGCATTCGAGCCAGCTGATTTTGGATCAGAACTTGATTTAACATCTTGCAGCAACTTCACTTTAATTGAATCACCTGTAATCTGTGTTCCACCACTCTAAAGACCCATTATCATTGGCCTGTATTTTTCCGGCAACCCTGCAAGCAAGAGAGTGCCGACCCACTCATGGTCCACTTTGAAATTCATTGCATTTAACTTATGTGATGTTGAAATGATGGTGTCACGTGTCACAATATTCTTCTACTGAACTACAGTCTTCTAACTTGGTAGTTACTAAAGCCCTTGAAAGACCAACCTTTCTTGTTAGTCCTGAATCTTCAAAAGCTTTTTCTAAGTTTTGCCAAGCATCTTTAGCTTTTGCAGCAGTCTTCAAATGGGAATAATTTAACTTATCCACAGACAAGATTATTTTAGAAAGTGCTTTATTCTCATCCACTTCGGTACCTTCGACAACTTTCCACAAGTCATCTTATTCTAAAAGTGCCTTCATAGCGAACTTCCACTCGCTATAATTGTCCCGATCAGAGTCAATTTATCAATCGACACAAATGATGATGAACTGCTTGGCATTTTCTTTTGAGTGTTAGCACAAAACAAAACTTTTAATTTACGCACTGACTTTTGGCATATCTGGGCCCATAACCTGTTAGAGTTATTTTGTGGAGTAAAGCCAGAATAAAGTTTAACTATTAGAAATAAACTAAAGATTTTATTCATAACAAAATAACAAAACATTCTACCATGAAGTTTACAACAACATTTCTATATCGA